ACTGTGAATACTGGTGATAGTCTGGTACGGGTACTCCCACACTCTCGTTAATGGTCAAAGTATCCAGTTGACAGTGACAGTGAGAGTGACAGTTGACAGTGAGTTGATTAACAGTGACAGACAGTTCACATCTGCTACACCATACTCGAGGTCATCAGGGCGCAGCAGAAAGCAAAACAGATCAAGCAGAACACATCAGCAGACTAGTCTCCAGCTCTCTACTTATATCACTTTATCATCCATTCTTTTCTTTTCCTTTCTACTGGTGGACTCGCTCGAAATATTCAGAGGCTGGAAAAGAGCTGCTGGTCTGTGTTAGCGCCAGAGAGAACTGGAGACATCGAGTCACGGAAAAAAAAAAAGAAAAAAGAAAAGAAAAATCTGATCAATCCCCCATTGGACCACCCCAGGGCGAATAAGGCCAATAACAAATATCTTTCTCACCTTTTCCCCTCATCAGACTGACACATTTTCCAATCGGTCGCCTATCCAACCTGTCCTGTCTGCGCCGTGGAGAAAACGCCGTGAGGAATCCGCGAGCCTTCCACTTACGGTGGAGTAGTGGATCCGATATGCAGTTTGTTTTCTCCAAGACTGGGGTCACAGACCAGTCAGAATTCACCTGGCCAACGAAGAGGGGAAAGCCCTGGTCTTATCAACTTGTTACTTGCAGGTCAAAAGTACGGTGGGAGAGAAAGTGTGGGAACAAAGTGGAATGATACGATGAGAGACTCCATAGTGTACTCCAGGGCTAGTATGATATATGCAATGCAATAGTATTGATATTGGGATTCAGAAGTCCCTCGCTTTGGGGGTATTATAAACAGATCTTCGCTAACATAAACCTGACACCAAACATCCATGCCCAAGTGGAGGGCAACAAGTAGTATCAAGATCCCCATGGAGAGAGAACTTGAATCAGTCCTGAACCACCTTCCACCTTCCACCTTCCACCTCCATCACTTCCGAGTCTCGTCAACCCCTGAGACAGATCCTGGTCAAACATGGCTGAATCCATCAAGCCCGACGTTTCACTCGTTTGCGCCCGTTGAATTATGAAAATTCCAGACATAGAGGTCAACGCAGCAGATCCAGTATGGGGTAACATAGTACTAGTAGTCCCAGCAAGCTCCATCGTCGCAGAAACTATCAACTCTGCTATCCAATGCATGCATCCCATCACCTCCTACCGTACGGAGTAGACACATCATGCATCCGATACGCCACCTCGCTCCACCGCCCCTGTCCCTGTCCCTCGCCCTGACCCAGTCGCCTGACATAAGTTGGACTAAACCCATGACTCTCATAAGTAGGCGGACAATCAACCGACTCAGTCTCAGCTCCATCCCAGGCATCGAAACCCGAGCTCAAGCCTAGACCCAAGAACGGGTCTGACGGCGGTATTCGATGAAAAATGGTGTCCGGCGTTCGACTCTGTTCCACATGAGGCTCTTCCTGTTGCTGTTGTTGCTGCTGCTGCTGATGGCGATACGATTCACTAACTACCCACTGCTGCTCTGACTCGACCCAGACAAGTGGACAGCAACTCTGCGTCCGTCGACCACGTTCTTGCTGTCGGGTGGATGATGATGGGACATCTACGCTTAATAGAGGTAGAGGGATCAGGTCCCGCATCGGTGATCGGGGTCGCTGGTTAAATCTCGGGACTCGCGACTCGGAGTCGATGCGAAGTTGCATATGCAAGTCGATGTCCATGTCTATCTCGGGTGATGGGCTCCTCCTACCCCGTTGGGCGTGTGTTCTGCGGAGCTGGCTCTCGCTGAGAGAGGTTTCGGTCCGAGGGAAAGATGGTCGGTAATTATGGCGATAGGGATGGTCATTGTTGTTATTATTATTGTTATTGTTTGCTGCCGGGGACTCATATGATGAGGAGGAACCTCTGGAGGATGGTCTCGGTGGTAGAGACCTCCACAGCCGACTGGGGTTTGTATTGGAATCTATGGTAGGCGATCGCAGATGAACAAGGCCATCATCAATGGGGTCGGGTGTAATGACCACCCTCGGGTCATCGATTGGCGGGCCTTCTAACGAGGATAGATCCATGAGGTTTTGTCGTTGTGGACACGAATCTGATCGAAGGAATCGCCGTCTCGGTATTAGCGAGCAAAATGGCATTTCACGGAAAGAAACAGCGCGGGGGTTCTGGCAACGACCCGCTTTATAGAGAGATTCTGTTCCTGGAAAATGTAAACAGATAGTATATTATTACTATCTTTGAACACGAATGATGTGCGCTTTGATAGACAAAGAAGTGTGGATCGTTGTACGAGGTTCGTATCCCGAACCCAAATCCAAATTTGGCGGAGAAGATCCGAATATCGTCGTCTGTAAGAAGTGCGGGAACAGAAGAATGTGATGAGAAAATGAAAAGATGAAACCATGAGCAAATGCCCCAGGAAAGATGTATATGAGGAGGAACTAAGCCACCAGTTCAGAATTGGATTGGTTGGAAATAACCAGCTAAAAGGCCTCCAGCGAGTCATGCTGTGGCCACGGCGGCCCAAGTCAATACACAATAAGAGTAGTTCCGACATGGGAGTGCTAAAAACAACCAAGAATCCTTCATGGGGCCGGAAACTCCGAAATCCACCACCGGTTTGCCATCCATTAAACACGACTCAGCAATAGATATGCTAGCCTGGAGGCAATTAGAGATCTATCAACCCCACCCGGAAACACCTGGTGGATCGATCTATGATATTTGAGGTCCATATTTGGAATCTTCCATCGCAAGGCAGATTGTATGGAACTTTTGAACCCATACTCGTAGAAGTGGAAGTGGGGGTCGGAGAGAAGCGAGGGAAGACCCTCATCCTTTTTTTCTGGCCCGCTTCCATCATCCAACACTATGAAAGAGAGGAGCCTGTAATAAGGCAAAGCTCGAACACCTCATCCAGTCTGTGAAGGGGCCATGGCCCCGAAAAAAGCATACGAATTGCCTACTTCCCTGGTGCCATGTTGCGCAGCGGTGAATCGAATCTCGTTGTTGCTAGCGCATAGCCCCTTCTCTCTACAAACGCGACCCGCGCCAGAGTTGGTAGTGGGCCGACTATTTTTGGTCGACCAATAGAGGATGTCGCCATCACAAAAAGCTTCTCTGTTAAATATCGGATCCTGTTTCATTTTGGCTAGAAGGTGCGAGCTAAGATCCTCATGGTGGAAGAGAGCCGTGTGCCGGTGGGATTGTTGGACCGTGACATATGGGGCCAATCCACTCGCGATGGTGACCTAAAATGCCTTCTCAGATGTTGGTGTGTTCATCATAATGCAGGGAGGATGTGGATTTTGATTGTTAGGATTTTAACTTTTCAATTTCCCCGGACCGCAAGGATCGTGCTGGATATATTTAGCAAGTGAAGTGTCAAGACTCGGACTCAGGGTTGACTTGGCTGTACGTACTAGGTAGGTGCAGATCGCAATATCAATAAGGACACGCGCTTCTCCGCAGTGGCTTGGCTCCAAAAACAACGATTTCGGCCCCATTAAATCTACTAAAAAGCCGACCTCGGGTTACTAACCTACTCAGGTGGCTGATGTCATGCTCACGCGAGCCCTATAATTCACGTTGCAAGGCACTCCATGCCCTGATCTCGGAAGGTTGTTCAAGTTCTTGTTCCTTTCCTTTCTCGGCATACGTTGCGCTGCATATATCATGATTATCTCTTTTGAGTATTCTGATGTCAGATCAGACATATATAAACGCGGTTCCAAACACTGGATGTGGCTATGTAAATCGGGACTCTGGAATGCCACCGCTGACATAAGCAATCTTGGAATGTACCCTTATACTTCCGAATCTTGTACTACTCCTAGTACATATTTAAGCATGCATATCTACTACATAGTCTTATCTACTACATAGTAGTACTAGTCTTCCGCCCAATGGACTCGGACCCATGAACCTCAAATTTCCCGAAACCATTCTAATTGGAAATTACTTGGCCAAGGGTCACTAGTCAATTAAAGTTAGTCGCGAAATAGATTCAAGTCCCGCCTTAACAATCCTCCAAGGTTGGAGGAATAGTAGCCTCGTTGTGGAAATGTCCTTGGCCCCCTCCTCCACAGGTATATATGCACTGCGAAGGTTCAGTGTCACCCGTGCAACGGATATCACGGAATGACCTGCGCGATTGGCCCTTTCGTTTATTTGAAGGGGCCGACTTTGTTTCGCATTGCTCGCCAGAATTGGGTGATCGCGACCCAACAATAGGGACCGCGGGGGTATGTAATTAGATACGATTGGAAAGGGTCCTGATTTAAAGTACTCTGTGCACCGCATTTGCATGCATCGAGACGCCCGAGATGAGACGAGCAATTTTTGACTCTGTAAAAGAGTTGGTTTCAGACATCGCGGTCCGTCTGTACATACTAGTACTCTAGTGTCGCCGAGTCTTCTCGTTCCTTGGCGGAATGAAACAGGCGAATCTGGGGGCCAAGGTCGCCGTTTCGGGGGCGACCAGGGGTTTGAGGAGAGTGGCTTCAGAGTAAGATTGGATTCCGAAATGAAAATTGACATTCACACGTCTAATTAAAGAAAATAGACAAAAGAGAGTCAAAGTATATAGTAGAATACATTGAAAAAGAAGAAGGGTAAGTGTAATAGAAGAATAGAAAAAAAAAGTGTTACGGGTTGAAATCACTGGAAAGTAAGGAAAGGGTGAAAGCTGTCATGGTTTACATTAAGATCGTGCTCAAGCCACCAAGAGCGCTTCACACAACTCCGAAGCTATCCAGGAAGCCCAAGAATAGGAAAAATAAATATGTATATCAAAAATCAGAAAAAAAGGATAAAACATATCCAATCAGAAGCAAGTAACAAGTATCGGTCAGGCAGGCAAGGTATATCACCAGAACCCAAATTTAAATCACAAATCTTCTCCTCTTCTCCATGTATCTTCTCCGTATGTCCGTAACCATTTAAACTAAACTAATTGTGCGAGGCACAATTAGAGATAGTAATCCATCATAGATGGAATGATTTATGCCAGGAAGAAGGCAGCGGCGGCGGCAACACCAGCGAAGGTGAGGGAGCCGGAGACGGCACCGGCACCGTTGAAAGCGGGGGTACCGGAGGGAGAGACGGGGGAGGTACCGCTGGGATGGGTTAGCAATTGAATATAGATATCATTGGAGGGTTTTTTGGTTGATATAAATCTTACCTGGGGTTAACAGCGGAGGAGGAGCCGGGAGCGTGGGGAACGCCGCTGGAGCCAGGGCCGACGGGGGAGCCACCACCGGGAGCGGAGGGGATGGGAACCTGGGAGGTGATGACGGTGGGGACACAGCTGGTGAAGGTGGTCAAGCTGTAGCTCTGGGCCGGGGTGGTGACAGCGGGAGGCTGGGGAGAGCCACCGGAGGGAGTCACAGCGGGGGGGAGCGGGAACGGAGGACCAGCTGGGGGCAGGGCCCGAGGAGGCAGGGGGCATACCGCCGCTGGGGCCGGAGGAGGCAGCGGTGGTAGGCTCGACACCGGCGGGGGTGGTGGTAGGCTCAACACCAGCGGGAGTGGTGGTGGGCTGAACACCAGCGGCGGGGGTGGAGGTCTCACGGCCGGGGCAGTCGGTGACCGAGGCGGCGCAGGAGATGACGGTAACCTCGTCGGTCTGGTAGACAGTGGAGTCGGCACCGTTCTGGACGGCGGCAGCAGCCAGGCTGGCGAAGAGGGCAATGGTGGCGGTGGAGAAACGCATTTTGATTGTATGGAATTGATAAACCGTAAAGGTGATTTAAAAAAGCGGAGCTTTGGTGAGAAAGAGAGTGTTGGTAGTTGGTTAAAGAATGGATGACCGAAGTCTAGAGAGTGACTGGATGCGATGGCAACGAAGAATGTACTTGAAGAAGAAAGAAAGGGAAAGGAAGGCCACGGGGGAGTTAGGGGCCCTTTGTATGAACGGGGAGATTAGTCCTCATGGATCAACATGGTCCCCCCAATTACGGAGTGCCTATGGTTACGGATACTACGGAGTCAACTAAAAAAAGGGGAAAGGGGAAAGGGGAAACCCTCGAAAACGGAAATAAAAGAAGTGACGCTGTTGGGGGGTCCACGGGGGTACCAATGACCACTTCCCTTCACCCATCCACACCGCATGATTGAAGTACCAGTGACCTCCGTCATCTGTTCTGCACACAGCCCGGCTGGAGTCGAGTGGCCCCTGGATGGAGTCGGTCATTGGATGAGACGGGGTATTGGGGGAAACCTCGTTTGGTTGTGACGCCGAGTTGGTGTGTAATTTTGGGAGCCACTAATGTTTTTAGCGTCGTCTGTGATGCCGATCTGCTGGGGCGTTTGCGTGGATGAGACATTCCTTACTTTATGATATAGTTGTAGGACGGATGTACGAAGTTGATATCTACGAGTATGGATTTCCTCATACTGCCTACCTACATATCCAAAAGAAACAGAGTATCTCATCATCACTCTCATCTATATCGTATATACTCCCAGCCCGAACGGAGTATACCTCCATATTACTCCGTCTTCGATATCTCCCACAGCCGATGTCTAGTGGGTCTAGCGGTTTCAGGCCACGCAGCCCAGCCAATCCACCGCCGATCCACTGCCCGTTCCTGACGCCATCGACCAGTGCGGGCGTTCCCCGTGGGTCCCATCTCCACTTTACCCCTGAAAAGCCCGTGGATGATTGCCACTTTCGCTGGGCACGGCTCCCGTACAACACCGGTAAACCATCGTAAACAACGCACATCTGATGACGAACGGAAGTCCTTACTCCGAGTGTTCATCTCAACCAGGTTTGTCCTCCCGCCCAGGTACCCGAGGTTCGCTCCAGAGCCACTGTATATCCATAGTGCAGAGCTGTCTGCTGGTTGCTTTAATTGGATCCATTCGGTGGTAATTCCGGGGGTGCGCGAATCACGTTCGTCTCCCGAGCCTTACTCTGATTACTGTAATTGCGATGTATTACCACTTTCCACTTCCCTCTTTGCACAGTGGATGGTGTATATTGCTATATTACGGGCTTCTATTCTCGTCGCGACCCCCATCCTATTTGTTGTTCGGTGGATCCCCTATGACTGTCTTGGGTTCCATTGAAACCAAGCAACAGTAGAATCCTGCCCCAGTATTATAAAAAATCATTTTGCAGAGTAAAAAAAATAAAAATATTGTTTTTGTTATGATTCTGATCAAATCACCCAGCCCACTACGATACCGCCCTGCATCCTGTTCCTGCATCCGGAGAAACAGCCCTCGTAGTCCCCCCACAGCGGGACCGGTCAAAACTGCAACCACCTCCCCGAACGGTTAGACCGCCAGTCAACAAAGTGCTTAACGGAGCTTACATGCCAGGTCCAAGCCACTAGAGCGGGGGAACCAGAGACAAGAAAAGAGGCTTGGGCGAGAGTTTTTGGTCCCTTGATCGTGCCGTGGCGTTGTCCTTCTCCATTAGAGTACGGAGTCGGGATATCGGTCGTGGTTTCAGACTTCGCCAAGCCAGGGCCAGGACCAGGACCCTGATCCTGATGAGATCGGGGATCGAGGCAGGTCTGAGAGCCTGTCTGTCTGACCTTGAACGGAGTTCAGAGACCGAGACCCAGACTTAGACCCAGTTGTGTACATATGTACTGAGTTAGTTTAGTCCCTGGCATCACGCATGTCTTGGGAGTTGTAATTTTTATTTTCATTCTGTGGCCCCTGTTATGGTTACTGTATGTTGTATGTACTTGTTTACACTGAGCTGCACGCACCAGACTCAGTATCTGTGCGCGGTAATGGATCAGCATCCTAGTCGACCCTGCTGAGTCTCGACCACGAAGGACGGCATTGGCGGTGTCGGACCGCTTGTTCAGTCGTGATACATTAGCCCGAGGGCCAATGGCCATGGAGGACCGGTAGTGGTGTGCTTTCGCCAAGGTTTAATCGTGGTCATGGGCGAGGCTCCACGATAGGGGTTTACAGCAGTATGTACGGAGTACACCCCATCCCGCAGGCAGACAAGCATATAGCGCATTCGTATGAATCGAATTCATGGAGTAGGAGGGCTCAAAATGCAAGTAAAGCCTGGGCTTCCGAGTCCTTGACTGGAACGTCTTTTCTGTGAGATCCAGACCAATCCTCATATGCGACCCAATACATGTACATATGTAGCCTCGTGGCCGCCCCAGACTCCACATTCCTCGACTATTGATTTTCCATGAATCTCGTTGGATTGAATCTGAATCTCAACGACGCCCCCTTTCCTTTGGTCCTTCTTTTGCGCAACGTCGAAATCCTTGGACCGGTCTAGTCACTGGTTAGTGCCTAGTATTTCGTGCTATCCCGAGAGACCCCAGACTGCTTCTTTGTGCTATGTTTAGCCGGGTGAAGGAGCAGTGGAACCGCTTTATCTATTGAAAAGGGGGGGGAGGAGGGTTCATTGGGATAATAATAGGTTCTGTGGATCTATGCTTTTCACACTGGCCGATGTGCGATCCGTGTGAGTACTCCTCTGCGGAGTACAGAGCATGGAGTATTGGAATGATCGCTGTTCAGAAGTGATACTATCGTTCTCCTGAGAAAGGGGGGCACGGAACTCGAACGAGCACGGGGTATGTACGGAGTATACGCAGCATAGAAAGATAGGCGAGAGCGAGTCGGAGTCACGAAATCTACGACTCACCCGCCTCTTTTCTTTCAAGGAAGATGTGGACCGGTCGAACCAACTGTACCAGACTCTGTCATCTGGGCTGGATCCAAGATGCGCGTGAGGGACATCGTCTATGTAGCCGAAGTGATCGTCACCCTCTGGTTAAGGGAAGATTGGATTCACTCAGGGTGGACTCTCATTCGGCGATACTCTGTCCAACCAAACCGAGTGGAAGACGGTCGCTCCTTCATAATCTTGAGCCTGTTTGAGTCCCCCTCTCCACGACATTGTCTTTCAGCCCTGTAATCTTGGCCATCTTGCCGCCGAGCAATTCGCGCCGAGAAGCGATCAGCGGCAACGCGTCATGCCGGACAGCACCCGACCTGATCTGAGATTATTGAGTACTCGTACATATCGAGTACGAGTACGAATTCTACGAGAGACAAGCGATTGACTCGGCAATGACAGAGAATTATGAGTGAAGGAGGGGGGAGGATTGAGTTGAGTTAAGTTCAGCTACGGAGTATGTATTTCCCAGTCTCCTCTCACTAGTCTCATATTCAGTGCGACTCAGGACTAAGGCTGGGCGCGGCAAAAAAGAAGGAAAAAGAATCGGCACGATACTTACATGAAGAAGCCGTTACCCTGCCAAGTTGTGGCTGTTGGTTAGCGGCTGTCTATTTGTCTATTTGCGGCGAGATCCGTCGAATTGCCGAGTCCATAGGGTCGAGCGTTGAGATTGGAATTAATCAGGATCATGGCTCATTTCTGCTCTGTTTTGCCTGGCCGAGGACTTGGCTCATACCTATGTAATATGGAATACGGAGTGCGGAGTCCTCGTAAGGACTAATTTACTAATTTACTAATTGTAGAGGGAAACTGGCTACGAAAGTCAAGTCAAGACAGGACAGCGCAGAATCTAATTAGCCGTGAGTGATTGATTGTGATCCTTGCTGTCCCGCTCGAACCGCGCGTCAAGAGAGAAGAGCAGGATTCGAGGTGGTCGATGACGTCTATCCAGGTCTTGTCGGTGGCTATTCTGCTCCGTAATAGCTTGAGGTCCTGCAAGGAGTAAATAGAAGGAAAGATGAACTTAGGTTCAGTTTCCGAGTCGATCTATGGGTGTAGGTGTGGCTGTACACCTGGGGAGCCGAAAAATGCGACGGTGGAAGTGGGCCGAGTGGCTTGTCTCAGAGTCAAGATTTGGGATGGGATTTGAAACATTGGCGGTGCAACTGGCGGTGCAACGGTGGTGGTGCAAATTGAGCTTTTGAGGACATGAGACACGAGCTGAATGATTATGGCATACGAGGTAGAGGGGTGGAGGGGAGGCCTGGAGGGGAGTAGGGCCGTCATTGCTAGAAGGGCCGTTGAAATTGAATCGAAGACCTGGATGGATCGATTAGATGATGACATGAGACTGGACCTGGCAAGATGCTCAGCCACTGTCAAGGGATCTGATCTATCAGCCACAGGGAGGCTACCCTAGATAGACTACTCCGTATCCTTGGTTGGGGGGTCGTGATGATGCATTTGCATTTTTCTAAATATGTACGGCGTGCAACAGGACCAATCTCAGAAGTCTCCGAGACTATCTCCTCGGAGGATTCAAGTTGTGGACTTGTGGACTCCATGGCAGTAGCAGCAAGTGGGGATTTGGAGGGTTGATGATGTCGATACCGGGGATTCTGCAATCTTGCTCAGGCATGGCTTGAGGTGCAATGCTGCAATGAGGCAATAAGGTAATGATGAAATGGTGAAGATGGTGGAGTGCAAGGAAATGCGGCTCCAAGGCAGCACCGTTTATGCCCAACTTGAATTCAGCATGGCATATGATATAGGCAGTATGTCTGTATACTGTATGGCAGTCACCAGCATATATGCCGGTGCCCAACTCGAGCTACGGAGTAGTCATAGTCATAGTTTAGACTTAGTGACTGCACACTACAGACTCTTACACTGAGTGTCAATATCCAGCTATTCTCTATTCCATCACCATGTTTCAGCGAGGCGCCTTCTGAAACACCACAGCCCCACCACCCGATCTTCTCTTCTCGAGTACGGACTACCTCGAGTATCCCTCTGACTCTGGTCTATTAATACTGTCTACTCTATTAATATTCATCTTCAATTCTTCTAGGGCTGAGTCTCTTGAAGATTATATCTTATTCTACTCTATTCTATCCCATCCCACAGCACTACTACAAAAGTCCCATTTCCCCTCCTCTTCTTCTTACGTGGGTGGATGCAAGTTGAACTTGACTTGTCACCTGCTCCTCTCTTTCTCTCCTCCTTCCCCCCCTCAAAACTGCCAACCTCCAACCTCCAACCTTCTCTCCTCTTTCTTCCCCCCCCTCCTTCATCACCACCACACTCGTTCTCATTCGCTTCTCCGTTGTGGCTACCTTCGCTGATCCCAACGAGTTGTTCCTGCCCGGGGAAAGGCAGAACAATCTCGCCATGTCTTCCTCCGCCTCTGTCCCACTCCTTCGCCCGCCCGTGCCTGGCAACCGCAATAACTCCGGCAGTCCACGAGCCCCCAAGCTCACTCTCGGCATTCCACCTTCTCCTAGTGCGAAGCCCGTCACCGACAATGGAATCTCCGTCGATGCCCCTCAACTACAGCCCTTGCAACCCGCCCAACCCGCCCAACCATCGCAACCTCAGCCCCAACTGCACTCGCAGTCCTCCCGCCCCGCCTTGCCCCGTCTGAAACTGGCCACCCCGATGGGCAGTAGCCAGAATCTTCCGCAGGAGTCCAAGCCCAATGGAAAACCCTCTTTACTCTCTCTGTCCACCTCCGGACTGGGTGTGAATGGCCAACCCCCGCTCGACCAGAAGGCCAGCGGCCCCACGTCCGCAAACTCCTCATACTCGGCTCTCAACTTCGCCATGGGTCTGCGTGAGCCGACCGGAGGCAACTCAGACCCCTCATCCGCCATCAGTTCGGTGTATTCCGATGCCGAGGGCGGGGTACAGATGAAGCGGGAGGCCAGCGTCAACTCATTACTTCCCGATCTGGATAAATTGAGTCTGGAAAAGGGCCGCCCGCTCGACGTGGAGGATTTGGACGATGAGGGCTGGCATGCCGCCAGTGAGCAGAAGAAGATTGTTGAGCTGGGAAGTTTGGGTGAAGGTGCTGGTGGCGCCGTGACCCGCTGCAAACTCAAGGAGGGCAAGACCGTCTTTGCTTTGAAGGTGAGCATATCATTTTTAGGCTTTTTTCTATCCACCCTGTGAAGATCCCCGTGATCGCTAACCCGAACCGAACCGATTGTAGATCATCACCACCGATCCCAACCCCGACGTCAAGAAACAGATCGTTCGCGAACTCAACTTCAACAAGGACTGCGCATCCTCGCATATCTGTCGCTACTACGGCGCTTTCATGGATAAGACTTCTGGGACTATCTCAATTGCCATGGAATTCTGCGAAGGTGGAAGTCTCGATAGTATCTACAAGGAAGTGAAGAAGCTGGGAGGCCGGACCGGTGAAAAGGTCCTGGGCAAGGTTGCAGAGGGTGTGCTGAACGGGTTGACCTATTTGCACAGCCGAAAGATTATCCATCGTGGTACGTATCTCCATTGACCCAGATAAATTTGAAATCACCTTTGGCTAACATCATCAGATATCAAACCTTCCAACATCCTTCTCTGCCGCGACGGCCAAGTCAAGCTCTGCGATTTCGGTGTCAGTGGCGAGTTCGGCACAAAGGGCGATGCCAACACCTTTATCGGCACATCCTACTACATGGCCCCCCGAACGTATCACGGGCCAATCATACACCATTACCTCCGACGTTTGGTCTCTGGGCGTGTCTTTATTGGAAGTCGCCCAGCACCGATTCCCCTTCCCAGCCGACGGAACCGAGATGCAACCCCGCGCTGGATTAATTGATCTTCTCACATACATTGTTCGCCAGCCGATCCCCAAGTTGAAGGATGAGCCGGATCATGGTATTCGTTGGTCGGATAATTTCAAGTACTTCATTGAATGCTGGTATGTACCACTGAGAGCTATCTATTCTTGGAACGGTCCTAACATCTATCACAGCCTCGAAAAAGAGCCCCCTCGACGAGCAACCCCTGGCGGATGCTGGATCATCCATGGGTGCAGGACATGAAGAACAAGAAGGTCAACATGGCGAACTTTGTGAAGCAAGTGTGGGACTGGAAAGAGGAATAAAAAGAAGAAGCACAGTACACCGTGCACCACTCTCCTTACTTTCTTCATTTGCACACCGTCACCAACCACATTGGAGTTCTCATTTTTTTGAGCAAGAGGTGGCTGGACCCCAACGGGTTGACCTGGCTGTCAACACGAACTCAAAAAAGGCACGACTAACATCACATCACGACATTCTCATCCAACGATTGGAATCACACTTCTGTTCATATTTATTGGCGCCATATCTACATGCCATGCCGTGTTTCCTCCCGGGCCGGAACTCGGGAGCTTGAAAAAAACATTGGTTTCTCTTCGCGTCCGAATCATACCCTCACATGTTTTGCCTCTGCACACTTTTCTTTTCACCTTCAGCGTTTATGACTTGACTCATCGGCTACGCCTTACCTATACGATCCTTTCACGGCCTGATATTTCTCTCTCACATCGCATCCTCCTCTCCTTCTCTCCCTCGCCCTCATCCTTCTTCTTCTCTTAACCGCCACTCCCCTTCCTGGAAATCTATTGTCTGGAGGGCCTCCGCTCCGTGTGTCCCATTTACATTTCGAGCCTGGACATATCTTCATACACCATAAGCTCTCTGTTCTTTTCTTCCCTTGTTTCCTTTTTCCATGTATAGTTCTCCTAGGCTGTTTGGGTTGAGCTTGGTCTGGGTTTTGCAATGCATCGACTAGCCTGGCACATATTTAGGTACCTAATACCATTGCGATTGGTTTACTGTTTATGAATCCATGCAGACTGTCAGTAGTAGCTGTAGTATTTTGTAGTAGTCTTACAGCGTCATTGGCCGACTCGAATGGGTAACCGGATTAATCCCTTTTCGCAGCGAGATTGGACAGGAAAGATTTAGCTTTACTTAAGAAATAAATAGAGGAGCTAAAGCGCGTTAATGAAAAGCGCGCTTTGTCCGCTTCGAGAGCACCGGTGAAGTATGCCAACTGGAATTGAGCTACCGGAAATTAGCTGGCATAGTACTTCCATGGTGATATGGGCGATCATTAGAAATTCTTGGAGGCAGTCTTCAAGTTTCTCAGCGGGAGAGGACAGGGAATATGTTGCTTTACTTGGAGAAGAAATAGCGGAGCTTAGGCGCGTTAAAGAAACACGCGCTTTGTCTATGTCGCAAGACAAAAGCTAACTTGCTCCAGGGTGGATTCAAATCTGTCGAGGACTGATATCGCTACGATGTGGGCGGTTTCATAAAGGTTCTCATTGCTATAGGGATCTTGATGGTATTCCGGTCATGTCCTTTGTTTGCTTCCAACATTGCTCGCCACCAGAATCCTCAAGATGGCGAGAAGCTGCCAAAAGAATACATACTGAGCTTGTCTCTCCACTTTTGCCTGGATTTTCGGTTGAACTGATCCGCGAGAAATTGAACCAACCTATAAGGTTCTATCTGCTTCCTCGGGAAGGCCCCCTTTACCCGAGCTGGAAGGCCATTGACGATAAGATCCAAAGCAACGAAGACAGTTTCCAACCCTTTTTCCCACTTGCCTGCCTTCGATATGGGGTTCCAAGCACGGAGACTGAACTTAAAAGCCTGCCAGTTACCGTCATCAGAACGGTTCGGAGGTTAGCAAAGGGCCCATCTACAAATGAAGTTCAGCGGGTCAGAGAAATGATAGCGAAAGGGGGACTGGGTGAGGTCGATATTCTGTTCGCGGTGGATGAAGGGTGGCCCATGATATGGAAACCACCCAAGGATTGGGAGATAGATATTAGTTGGATGGGTTGAATTTTCCTGGATGTGTTCAAGTTCCCACCGGGGCAGGTTGGTTCAAGGTTTGTGATGGATTATTTGCGAGATGATTATTTGCTTGGTTAAGTTTGATTCCAAGTAAAAGTGTTTCTGATTTAATAATGATATATGCTATGTACGTCCCCAATCAACATCCACATGCTCGTCAACTGTACTCGTAAAACCAAAAACATGCAAAAAACAAGTCATTTCGGGGGGAATCTCAATAAATATGGGGTAGGGGTAGTAGTAGGCATGGACAAAAAGCGAATGAATGTACCGTAGTAGAAAGAATGCAGCAAACTCCGCCGCTAATGAGAGAAGAGGCTCAACTCGAGAAAGCGCAAGTATGCAGGCAGAGAGAAAAAAAAACCATAAAACCAAAAAGGAACCTTCTCGCTAAATATGAGAAATAAATAGAATCTGGACTTCATAAAGCCAGTTCCTATATATTCTCATCCATCGTCAAATATCCCTTAAATATAGCCCAGTCCGCCGAGGATGCTCTTGCATTCGGGGACTGGAAGTGCCGAGACGCCCAAGGCACGAACGAGGGCTCCACCGCGCAGGCGCTGGAGACCCATGGCAAGCTTCCACGCTTCAGTGTCCTGCAGGACAAAAACATATTTCTTGCCCTCTTGATCGCGAATACTAGCGCGGAGAATGTGGAGGCCCCGGAACTCGGCCTGTGGCGGCTGGACTGGTCCACCGCCACTTGCGTTAGAGCCCCGGGCGAAGCAGGCACTTGGCGATGCCAATCGGCAGGTGTTTTTGCAAACCTTGAGAAGGTTGGCGGCAAAGGCGTCGGATTCTTCGTTGGTGGGCATCGAGTTTGCTGATGCGCCGCGACGGAAAGAGAATGGGTTGCTGGAACCGGGCTTGGGGGGGTTGATTGCTGGATCCTACCTGGGGACACCAGATTTCAGCCAACTTCAAAGTCCATGCTTTGACGTCCCATTCGCGTTGGCCGACGCCACGAACATCGTCATCGACGAAAAGACCTTCTGTTGTCATGCGTAGGACAAGACCATCGGTCACCATGCCTTGTCCAGAGACCAATTGCGCAACCGGAGTCTTCATGAAGGCATTGTTAAACTGATAGACACCCTGGATCACGATCTTATCAGGATCCTTGGTGGAATATGTGCTGCGATGCGAAGGTGGAGGTGTCGTGCGAGCTGTTGACTGTGACGGAGCATATGATGACTCGGAGTACGCAGAACCAGACCCAGATGCCTTCCCATACGGGCGCCGTGGACGATCGTAGGGCCGAAAAGGAATACGCATCGTCTTCGATGGTTGTGTTGGCGGTTGGAAAGGGTGGCTGCTTCTTTGGAGAAGGTGTCCTGGGTGCGCTAGTCGCGCTGGCAGGAGCCGCAGGCTGTTGGGCCTTGCTTTTGGCTTCCTGGGCCTTCTTCTCTGCGTAGCGCTTAGCGGCCGCTTCTTTGAGAGCAGCGAATTTGGCCATGGCCTCCTTCTGGGCCTTCTCCTTGGCTGCTGCTTCCTTCTCAGCAGCCTCCTTGGCAGCCTTCTCCTTTGCCTCGGCGGCCAGTTTGTCGGCTTTCTCTTTGGCTTCCTTTGCGAGCCTGTCAGCTTCGGCTTTTGCGTCAGCGGCTGCTTTTGCTTGCTTTGCGCGGGCCTCGGCGGCTTCTCTCTCCAGTCGCTCGCGTGCCTCTTTCTCTGCTTTGTCCCTCGCCGCAGCCATTTCACGTTCCAATTGCTCTCGGCGCTCCTTAAGTTCTTTCTCCATGGCCTCGCGTTCTCTCTTTCTCTCCTTCTCCTTGGCTTCGGCGTCACGCTTGCGTTTGAATTCCTCCATCTTTCGACGAAGGTCCTCTTTGCGCTTGGCTTCTTCACGTTCGCGCTCCAGTTCGGCCTTCTTTCGATCTTCCTTCTCCTTCTCCTTTTGGCGCTCCTTTTCCTTTTCTCTTTCTCGTTCTCTCTCTCGCTCCCTTTCTTTCTCCTTCTCCTTATCTTCCGCGTTTGGGGGAGCCTCGGCGCCGTGTTGATTGCCAGCATACTGGTTGCCATAATTCTGACCCCCGCCAAAGTTTCCGCTTCGTTGTTGTCGATGTCCTGACCCATTACCGCCGAAATTTGAGCCGCTGTTGCGGTTGGAACTGGAGGACTGGTCATTGGCATTGCGTCCAGCACCGCCAGAGTAGCCGCCGCCGAATCGGCCACCACCACCACCATTGCCATTGTCATTATTGTCACCATTTCCCCGGGAATTAGATTGAGACATTCCGAAGGCCCAACCAGCAACGCCTAAACCAAGTGCGACCACCATCATTCCCATTCCTCCCGGGCCGTTGGAGACCGAAGCCATATACCATGTTCTGACGGTGGGAGCGACTAGAGACCATAGTATGACCACAAGAAGTGTGCTTGCAGCGCCGGCGAGGAAACTGTTGCGGTGGCATTGTAGCGAGGGGAGGTATAAGAAGCCGCCGCCGGATGAGTGCGGCGGGACGATGAATATGTCGTAGTTTCCGGGCGGTAGATCGGACGATTTCCGGTATTCGCCGTCGGTGGTGTGAGGATTCTCGCCGTGCGGCGGGGGAGGGGGTGGAGGGCCATCCATTGCGATCGCGATCGCGATCGAGTTTTAGGAAGGAAGATGGTTGGATGACGAAAAATAATGCGATTCGGCCTGCCGACTCGGAGGAACGAATATCGCGCAGCCGAGTGTAATGTCCCTCTTGGGTATATATAACTGGTCCAAACCAGCTCGATTCAGTAGCGGCACGATTCGAATGATGCGATCGCGGCTAATTGAACAGGGTGTCGATACGATTGCAAGTGAATAACCCGTTCATTTCGTTGTGGTGAGAGATGTGCACTGAGGCCCTAGGCCATACAGTGCTTGAGAAAGCCGGTCAGAGGGTAGGTAGAAGAAGAATTATATAAAAGCCAAACGAAGAACCGGTTTTGATCTCCGAAGAACAACCGAGAGATGGGTGATCGGATAACAACGAGGGAGGGTTGTAACGGGGGGAGGGGAGTTGTTTAGGAGAGAAGTGGCCCGGCATGGCAGCCGCTAAGGATCGGCGGCTCCATGCAGTGAGGACGTGGCCATCACACAGCAAAACAACTCGGGCGCGTCCAATCCCACCCTTCGATCGCATCGTTTTACCAGCAAATTCCACGGCTATCTGGTATTTCAAAAATGTTGAATTCCTCCAAAGCCACGCGGTAACGAGCCTTACTATCAGTGGCACAGCATCGAGGGATACCAGGCGGGCCGATTTGAACATCCTTGCTTCGAGTCTAGATCATTTCGAAGAAGGAGGGGTAATCCATTATCAAGCCGGTATTGTGACTGAGGGACTACAATTTACAGCTAATCCTTTTGGTACTTCTGCACCTTTTGTCATTGAAACCCAAGCTGGACTCGACAATTGAATCGGAAATAAAAATGTTTGTTTTGGTTTTACCATTTCGGGCAAAGTGCGGTTTTACGTCAGCGGGATTTCAAGGCCTGAGGCATCAAGGCACCGGAGCCGCGAGGACAGACGACGCTTGCAGGTAGAACTTCTAGGGACAATTGGAAACAATAGGGAGGGAATAATTCAAGATTCTAAATATGAATCTTAATGGGATACGGGTGACTGGGAAGTGAAGCACAGGGAATTTTATTGAATAAGGCTACCAACACCGCAGCAGCCATCAAAACGGTAGCAAAACAGCTACAGTAGGCAAACTAAAAGGAAGTCATCTGGGTCTAACATCTTATTCGTGTTATTTTGTGGTCATATGGGAAGTTATTGTCTAATTATGGAGCTGGTTATATCCATGGACTAAGATCCTATTTAATACTAGTAGTACCTAATACAGTTCCAAGGTTGACTGCTGCACCGTCATTATCAAGTACTATAAAACTGCAGGGCTCGAAAAGTTTATCCTTACTTTCTTTCTTGCCCGTTCTCTAACCCGTTACCTCGTCGCTAGATTTCTTCTTGGAACACGACAATATTTTCAAAATGTCGGAATCAAGATCCTTCTCCACTAGCACCTCACCTCGATCGAATCCTCATTCGATGGCCTTTGATTCGACCTCGCCCGCAACTTCTATCTGGAGTACTGATTCCAGCGTTGACGATGAAGGATTTTGGGATCGAACTACCGTGCTGGTGGGCCATATTTGTGCACAATCCCAACTCGCAGCATACCCATCAGTAGCCTCAGAAACAGCCAAGTCGGCCGTGATCTTTGTGAAGAAATTATGGAAACAAGTTGGCGAATTTTACGAGACTGCGGAATCACCCAGGCGATTAAGATTTCAATAACCGGAAGACTTTCAACCATCACAGTGAGCCTGCACCTATCCCGACTGTTGTTATTATTATCGTCAGACACGACACTCCTCCGGTATCATCCTGGTGGCGGGCGGCAGCCAAGAGAATCCATACCCAGTATCGCTCCCACATCGACGGACTTTCGGTCGAGCTCATCATTAACGATTTTATGAGGCGTGCACTGTGATTTCCGGTTCCTCAATCGCATCCTATTATCCCTCAATGGGAATCTATCTGTGATGAAATCCTGAGCATTGCAGATGTTCAAATGTGGTCTGGAGTGTCTTGTTGGCGATATGGAGTCGAGAGATTGCCTAGTGTGAACCCAGTCACCGTGATCATCAGTCTTCTGGAGTCAGTATCAGGTACTTCCGATAGGAGCATCCAACAGATCAGAAAGATATTGACACAGGAGGGTGTGAATGGTGTGGACATCATTTTCAAGATAAATGAATGGTGGACGAAGCCACGCATAAGTGCTAGGGTTGATGAGAATCTAACAAAAAATTCATGCCAACGATATGTGCAGCCTGGAGCTAGCATCGGTATTCATGGATGCCCAACAGGCTCGTCTACCCTGGGATGCCTTGTGGGGCTCAAGTTTGCGAAAGACCCTAATTGGCAACTCGTCGCTCTCACTTGCTTCCATTGCACGTGGCCCCCTCCTAACAAGCAACCACATTTACCAGCTTTCGACTTCTGGGCATCCAATCCAGTTTTCCCAACAGACAAAAGAGCTGAATAATGGCTGCAAGTTAATCAACCAGCAGCTTCTGATCTAAAAGAAGCAATCTCAGACTGTCAGAAGAGTATTGACGCGCCATTTTGGGTTAGACTCCGTGATCTTAAAAACAAAGTACAATCGGAAGACTCCATGACGTCGGATGAGGAATTCTAGTTCAAGGATTGGACTGAACGGATGAATTCCTTGAAAGAAAACAAGAAATTTTTGAAAAGTTTCTCGAAAAAGGCATTCAGCTGGGATATATTTACGCCGGAAGTGGTCAGCACAGAATCCTGTCCGCAAGAGACTAAAGGCCCTAAATATACGACTGGGCGCTTATCAAGGTTGACCCTAGGCGCTTGCCCAAGACATATGAACTACCCGAACATAACAAGGTATGGGAAACTCTCTACTTCAAGTTCCATTAACATTAGCTCAGTGCTGACCCCTAGATAGTCAATTGCATATCCATACAGCAGAACAGGTCGATTCATAGACCCAATAGCAAGCTCGCAGAATAAGATGAGAATGCTTACAAAGTGGACAAACAACCGGATTTACTCGGGGATTTATGAATACGGTACGATCAGTGCATATCCATCATGCCAGAGATCTTGCGCATGGGGAATTGACTACTACCACCCGGGAGCATTCTGTAAGTGGAGGTGCAGGAAACCCTTTCGCACTCCCTGGGGACTCCGGAAGTTTGATCTGCTCTGGCAGTTTTAATACAGCAATCGGCATACTGATCGGCGCCGACACATCTTTGAATATATCCCATTTTACTCCCTTGTTGGATATCTTCGCTGACATCAAAACCGTCACGGGGGCTGAAGATGTGCGTCTTTGTTAAAAGCTGAAGGTCACACCTGTAAGCTGTGGAGGATGCATTTACTAAGTTTGCGGTTGGATGGGTCGATCCTAAGCAGAAATATTGTCGATTTAATGAGGTTTTCTGCTTTTTACTTCCAAGGCCCTTGTATCCCATCAATATTCATACAGTAGTGTTGCAAAGGTTTGAAACCCTTTGTTGACCGCCCTGATCTCTGTCTTCCCAAGGGGAACAAGTAGCTACCGAAGATGGAATAGAGTAGCCAATCTATTCCATCTTAGGTAGTTACCAGTCTGCCATTAGAAGGCGGTCGATAATGGTGGGCAATAGTAGGATGTTTCAACCTTTTGCAACGCCACTGTATTTAGGTCCCCGGATTGTTTTCTTCCCATGGTTTACTGAATTGTTTCTACATCGTGGTATTATACGAGGCCAGCGGCCGGCTTCAAGGCGGGGTGGATGGGTCAAGAGCGGAGCAAGATGGATGCCCTGCCTCAGCAATACGAGCGATGTCGTATAGGCTGGATTGAGACTGTTTGTTACCTTACGGACCACGGTGTACGGTGGCCCGGTGTGCTGCTTTTGCTCTTGCGAGTCTTCTACCGGGAGACACCCATCCCCGATCATCCAGCTCGGCCCAGTATAGCGTCGAGAGTGGGGAAAGGGAGTCATCTCGATGGTTGTCGAGATTGCGGTCAAGCGGTTGTTGGGGAAAGATAGTTCAAGCGTAGTGGGTCCACGATATTCGAGGCGAAACGGCACTTCCCCGAAACATGTTCAGAGGTATACTCCGTAAGCCAGAGGAAAAGCGGACGTAGGTCACGTTAACAAGCATGTCGGATGGGATAATTACGCTGAGAATAAGCAGCCACTGGTTGAGTCTTCATGGTGGTCAATGGAAGGCATGGGCAACCGCGGTCCCATGACGGGGCCATGAGATGCGGGCCCCTGATCAGGCTCGCAGATGGAATAGACACCTTTCAAGCCGTTGAGCAAGTCATGGTACATACTGACCCTCATCATCATCAAAATCAGCCTGCAATTAACAAAAACTGAAATTCGGGTTCGGAGGGATAACCGGGGAGGATATAGAAATAAAGTAGGAGACTAAGGACCAAAAAAGCATGTGTTGTACTACGTAGGAGGCACAGCGCAGGCGGAGAGCATCACCGCGCCGCAACGTGACCCGCCGGCGGTGATTGGATCATTCCACTTGAGATTCAGATTCCCTTCTTCTCTGCCTCGTTGCTGTTGACTTTCAACCTCGGTGGAGGCATCACTACTTATTTCTTTTCTCTCATCTCTGTGGGAGGATATCGCTCCCTTCCTTCTTCCCCCCCTCGATCTCTCCGCTCCCCCGCCAACTGTCCTCTTGGCCCCATTCTCACCCTCATTCCCAAGCACTCATTTCCCTCTTCCACTCCTATGCCGCATCGATAGATCGCAGACCCCTCAATCCAACCCCCCTTGCCCGTCTAGGGCCCCTCCGACCACCATGTCCTCCTTCCAATCCTCTCACCAGAGCCACTCCGCGTCGCGCCATCTCCCCGCTTATAACCCGGTCGCCGCTGTAACCGCGCCTGCGGGGACCTTCCTCCCCGGGACTAAGGTCCAGGTCGGCAGTCACCGCGTGGTGATTGAGAAATACCTGTCTGAGGGTGGCTTCGCTCATGTCTATGTTGTTCGGTTACCCCAACCTATCAATGGCACGGAGACGGCAGTGCTGAAGCGGGTGGCTGTGCCTGATAAATCGGCCCTGGCGAACATGCGCACCGAAGTCGAAACGATGAAGAAGCTGAAGGGACATAAGCATATTGTCAAATATTTTGATTCGCATGCCTCCCAACTCAGCGGAGGCGGATATGAGGTATTCCTACTCATGGAGTTCTGTGGCGGCGGTGGTTTGATTGACTTCATGAACACTCGGCTGCAGAACCGCCTGACGGAGCCGGAGATCATTAAGATCTTCTCCGACTGCGCTGAGGGTGTCGCCTGTATGCACTACCTGAAGCCGCCTCTGCTGCATCGTGATCTAAAGGTGGAGAACATCCTCATCTCGGGCAAGGGAAGCTCTGCCATTTACAAGCTTTGCGATTTTGGATCCTCCGCCCCTCCTCGCCCGGCGGCGACATCTGCTGCGGAGGGTCGTTTGATTGAGGATGATGTGCAGCGACACACAACGCTGCAGTACCGCAGTCCGGAGATGATTGATGTATATCGGAAACAACCGATCGACGAGAAGAGTGATATCTGGGCCCTTGGTGTGCTCCTGTACAAACTATGTTATTATACAACCCCCTTTGAGGAAGTGGGTCAGATGGCGATTCTAAATGCCACTTTCAAATACCCCTCATACCCCCATTTTTCGGACCGGTTAAAGATGTTGATTGGTGAGTGCAAGAGGTCTCTGGTCGAAGAACTTGGCTAACCGGACACAGCTTCCATGCTGAGAGAGAACCCGCAGAAGCGGCCTAATATATATGAGGTGGTGCGAGAAATGTGTCACATGCAGGGCAAGGAAGTTCCGATTCGAGATGTTCGTGCAATCATTCCCCCCTACCGCTATGCGAATTTTACTGACATGAAGGTAGATATACTCTAACCGAACTGTTTCCGAGACGCGAAAGAACCAGGAGTTGCCTCCAACACCAACAGATGCTCCCCCCGGTGGGAGCAGTCTACTCGCTCCATGTCGAGGAAACCAAGGTCATTCCTGAGATCGCACCTATGCGAAGAGGACGGCCAGGAAAGCCTCAGTCATCACACGACTCTGCTAAAGCAAGCCCCTCCCCATACCGTGGTAGCTCCAAAGATGCAACTTCTAGTGATCCATTTGCCGCGCTGGATGGAGGCGCGGCAGCCCGAAGCAAGAAGTCCGACGAGCTTTCTAAACGCTTCCCCACCTTGGATCAGTTTGACATTCTTCACGAAAACGGGGACAAGTTTGATTTCGAGCCGACGGCAAAGGATAAGTCGGACGACCATGAACTCTCGCAGAGACTCACCAATGCTTTGGCCGACCAAGCATTTGCTCGACAAACCTCGCCAGAACGTCCAGCGCGACAGGAGCCTCCTTCCAGTCGACAATCGCAGACTTCGCCTGTGCGCGAACCCCAGCAGGTGTCTGCTAGACAATCCACTCCGCTATATCAACCTACTCCTAAGCGCCCTGCAATGGTATCTACTGGAACCATGACATCGCCTGCTCAGACACCTCGCTTGCAAGAACGCACATTGTCCAACCGCCCAATCTATCGATTCCCAACCTCTGAACAGGATCGTCCCTCAAGTCAGCCCTGGACACAGGAGGAACAGAAGAAGGCACCATCTCCCCCATCATCGGGATTGCGCCCTGAAGCAAGCCCGCGTCTGTCCTCGGACCGCTTGTCGAACCTTTCTAGCTCCGCGCGTCCTTCCATGGAGACTTTACGACGCCCATCTGCACTGAGATGCGAATGATCCTGTGGGCCGATCAAAGTCTGCCATCGCCAAGGCTCGTCCAGTGTCAGTGCAGGCCGGATACGTGCCGCGGGAATCGGAGGCGTCGAGATCGTCATTGGATTTGTCGCAATACGAAGGCGGTGCGCCATTGCGATCAGTCCGAACAGAGCTGGACCGCGATAATGAACGGGCCAACATTTCTTCGGATATAGACTACCTTCGAGCGAAGGAAGAGGAGGAAATCAATCGCAAGAGGGAGAAGCGCTCTAGCAGCGGCGCAAAGCACAGCAAGCGCGGTAGCTTGTCTTCACTTTCACTTTCAGGCAGCAAGAACTTATTCGCGGGCCGATTTGGTGAGGCATTCCGCCGATTCGAGAGCGACAAGCCCGCGACCCCCTCGTCAGAAGAGGCCCCCAAGACAAGTCTGATGAGTGATACCGAAGCCAGAAACGACGACATGTCGCCTTATGAGGATGATGTTGTGCTAGATGACTTGGATCGAGACGACATTTCCCCGGAGACCCGCCGCGAGCTAGAGCGCCGTCGCCTCTCCCAGGAGGAGAAGCGGGTTGCCAATGCTGCGGCCGAGTATCGACGCCGGGTCGCCGAGAACGACGGTGGAAAAGGAGGTGCTGAATCGCACCGGTCTCGGGCTATCCAAAACCGAGTTCAAACGCTTATCGGCGAATCTAACAAACCCGCCGCCGCACCGAAAACCGCGTCTGGATATGGCAAGTACACCGAATCCCCTGATTTGCCGGCAAACCAGGGCGATGTACGTCCTCCATCAAACCCAATCCCTACATCTCGAACTCCTGGTCCCGTCTACGGTGGCCGTGAAGGAAACATACCTCTGCCGGACCGTCGCGAGGGTGCCAGTGTCCCCGTTGGAATTCCTCGGACTGCTACCTCTACGTCGACGGGTTACTCGTCTGGACAACGCCCGGCATCCCGGTCGGCCGCACCCCCAACTGCACCACCGAAGCCTAAGAACCTGCGCGTAGGGGCCTCGGATGCCTCCAAGCCCAGTACCAGCAGCGAGCGAAGCCAGCCGAACCCAACCAGCCCGGGTGAAGACTGGGAGACGAACTTCAGCCGGCGGTTCCCCAGTCTCTCCGGCATGGAAATGGAGACGGAGATTGAGATCCCCAAGTTCCCTAAGCTGAAGACGCGGGAAGTGTAACGCCTAGACGGATGTTTTATTTGGTGTAATGTTGCCGTGATATTAGCGTGTTCCACCTGGTGATTTGTATTTGATTCGGAGGGGTGCATATAGATAGACAGTGAGTGACATATGACATGAGGTATAACCCTCATTGAAACGAAGCATCTAGACTTATCCCTTGCCGCGCACACAAGCATTGAGTAGATACTATGTAGTAGTATAGATAGCACAGACATAGTTACACCCTACATATGTACTACATACGTACTCTCCACCAAGTGTGACAACGCGTGGTCCAGATTCCTTCCTTGGAACCTTGGATGCTTGCCCGTTCCCTCCGCCTGCAGCTTTCCCACCGCCTTCTCCAACCCCACGCCCAAGAACCTCACCACATCCTTTCAGCGATAAGACACAGCAATCATGGCTCCTGTCCTACTGAATACGGTCGATGGTGCGTACTATCTTCGAGAAGCTACACAAGCCAACGCTAATTATCCGCAGACGACCTGAAAGACGTAATCCAGCACCTCTTCGAGATCCAATCCGCGGTGCACGGCTACCTAGGCCCAGAAACGCAACAAGAGCTGGTCCGAAAAATGTACGTGAAAGAGCAAAGCTCAAGGATCTGCCAAAAAATCCAATCTACAATGCGTAAAGTCGAAGAGGGAGAGGGAGAGAGAAAGAAAGAGGAACTTCAAGCTAACAAGCATGATCATCACAGCAAAAACCTCACTCTCACCCTAAACACCCTCTCAACACACACCCAACTCCCGCCCGACAACGGGAACGCAGCAGACTCAGAGCAGAATCAGCAAAACGACGACCCTGCAAACCCGCGCCTCGCAAGCGTCCAATTACCGCCCGAGATAATCGACTACGTGGACAGCGCGCGCAACCCAGACATCTACACGCGTGAATTCGTCGAGCTGGTACAGCGCGGCAATCAAGATCTGAAGGGGAAAAGGGAGGCTTTCGCCGGGTTCCGGGATGTGTTGGCCCGTGAGATGCGGAGTGCTATGCCTGAGTGTGCGGGTGAGGTTGATCGTGTTGTTGCGGTGACGGGGGAACCGCGGGTGGGGGGTTGAATTCGAGTTCAAATCCGAATGCGAATGCAAATCCTAATTAAGATTTGGATTTGGGTTGAGCGGGCGCCGCACTGTACTGCACTGGACCGCACCGCACCGCACTGCCAATTCGAACGGGAAGTGGAGGGAATAGGAAAGGCATGGCGAGGCAGGGTGAGGCATTTCTTGAATTGCCCTGCCCGGTCTTCATCCATCCAGGCCAGCCTGAGCCCGAGCCCGAACCCGTCCTTTTCCATCCCGTCTCTGCCTCGCGCGACTATCTTGCAGCCTACAGTTTTACGGTCTCATTATCTATACGGGGTACCTGATGGAAATACTCCGTGCTTTGGAGATCTGGGCTTGTCTGGGCCACCGGGCTGATGGGTGGGCGTGAGGGAGCCTCATGGGGACACGAACGGATCTTTTTCTGACTTCATGATGATGCAGGTTAATGTAAGGCCACCGGGGAATTTGTGTCCTTGGATGGAATGATGTCGTTGTTGGGGGCCAGAATACGACTTGCGGTATTTCTACAGACCTGAATGGCTACTAGTACGAGGGCGAAGAGGAGGGCGAGTGCCAAGACAGGGTATGGGGCGTTAGGGTTAAGTCGGGGTTTTCCGGGGTTGTTGAGTCTTTGTTCTTGTCGTAACCTTGTTTTCTTTGTGAGGGTTTAGCGAGGCGCTGGGTGTTGTTTATGGATGTGATTTGATTTGATTTTGTCGGGATATTGGGAGTATTTTATGGCAGACCATCTATTATGCATGGTGATAATGTACTCGAGGGACACTACATGGTGGCGTTCCCCCTGGGCTATCAGTAGTCACTTTCCCCATGAACTGGTTACGTCGATACTTGTCCCAAGGCACTCTATACAAGCGGATCTGATTGGAGAGGTCCTTGAATAAATGACTGATCATCACCGTTGACTATGGGAAAGGACACACCGAGTCTTTGGTAGCCTAGGCTAGATTGCGCGAAGGCATGTGTTTCAGACCGGAGCACAGGATCAATTGCCGTGTTGAAAGCGACCGTGCTGGTGGCCGTGCCCTCCCCACAAAGAGACTCGTAGCTGGAAGTTGGCAGGTGGTAACTGGCAGCTAGCAGCTTGAGTGGATGCTATGACATGTCTATCCACCCTGGAGTCCACATCCCCAGTCCACTGTCCACCATATGCACGAGTATCGTATGTATGTATGTCGTCGGTACTGTACTTCTGGTACCTATGGTAGTACGTATATTGTCATCGATATTGCTGTTTGTCTTCCCCCGTGTGATGGGTCTGCAGAGCCTCTGATCGTCTGCTGCACCTGCACACCGAAACTTGCCGGCGTCGACCAGGTGTCCCGACGCTTGACCGCATTGAGGGTGACTCAGAGTGGGACTGGCCTGGACTGGATTGGATGGACTGGGGATCCCGGGGTGTGCAGGTGAACAACACAGACGGCAGGCGTCCAAGTTGCCTGAGAGTAGGTGTAGATGTAGGTGTAAGTATACCAAAGGGTACATGTATACGAGGAAGTTGAGTATTGAATGTGTCGAGTCACCTGAAGTCACCTGGCGTCACTGGACCGAGGACTAGCTGGGCTGCTCCTGCCTCTCCTGTCTCCCCCAGGTCACACCCCGTTCCTTCCCAAGCTGCCCCTGACCCACTCCGGTACATCCCCAACCTCAACCGGGGAACCTTTTGATAGTTATTCCTGAGTCCAATCCCTGCCTTGATAATATATCCGATACATATACATCCCACCAGGCGGGACTCGACTTTCAATGTATCAATTACCTCGAGCATGGATCGCATCTGCGCCTTGCGGCAATTAACAGTTGGACTGTTCATCGCACGGCCCAGGAATAGCAACCAATAGTCCCCGCCCCAAGCGCAGGGATCGAATCCTTTCGCTAACATCCCACATATCCCCAATCCACCCGTCTTTGTCGGGCGTTTTCCGATCTGATTGACTTGCTTTGTCTGCTTGCCCCCGGAGTAAGCCACTTCATGATCGACTCGCCCCCCACCCGCGGCACTCGGCCAGTCCCAACCCAGTCGAGGCCAAGACCTAAGCCCCAAGCCCCCTCCCCCCAAAAAAGCCCCCATATGAATCCTCTCTTCTCTCACCTGATGCTGATGCTGCTGCTAATGCTGCTTCTCCCTTTCCCCACCTAATCATGCCCCATTCTCCTTGACAAGCACCATGGCGAATATCACCGCCGCCGGCGAGGGCATCACCGGCGGCATCAAAGGCACTTCTTTGGGAATGCAGATCACCATCGCTACTCTGGCTGGTGTCACTTGGTACAACGCTTTCGAACTGATCATCCTTATCTTCGTCACCTTTGCCCAGTACCGCGGTCTCTATTTCTGGAGCTTGTTCGTCTCTTGTGCTGTCGGCTTGATCCCATACTCCCTTGGTTTCCTCTTGAAGTTCTTCGAACTCACCTCTGCGACATGGCTGTCGGTGACCTTCCTCACCATTGGCTGGTGGACGATGGTGACCGGCCAGTCTATTGTTCTATACTCGCGTCTTCACTTAGTCCTCGACAACCAGCGCATTCTTCGGCGCGTTCTGACCATGATCCTCGTCAACGCTGTCTGTCTTCACCTTCCTACCACCGTTCTGACCTATGGCAGTAACCTCGCGGGAGAAAGACATGTTCATCCTTATATAAACGGGTATAACGTCATGGAGAAGATTCAAATGACTGGCTTCTGTCTACAGGAGTTCATAATCTCGGGTCTTTACATTTGGGAAACAGTCCGCATGATACACCTCGACATGGACCGCTCTAAGCGCAAGATTCAGTACCAACTCATCATCATTAACCTGATTATCATCATTATGGATATTGGACTTCTTGTTGCCGAATACCGCGACTACTATATCATGGAGACAATGTTGAAAGGCGCCGTCTACAGTATTAAATTGAAGCTTGAGTTCGCCGTCCTCGGTAAACTAATTCACCTCGTCCACAATCACGTCTGGAAACCCGAATCCTTCTCCGTGCCCCGCGAACTCCCTGATTTCGTCGATGCGACTCGCGTCACCTCGGACCTTACCCACGCCCCAACCGCTCAAACACATACTACTCGAGGACAATCCTGGATGGATGACGATGTTTCCGTCGCCTATTTCGAACATTGCCCGTCTCGCGACCAGAATGGCAGCGCAGAGATCCCAAATTCGTGGGGCTCGGGGACACATATCAGAAGTCATGGCGATCATACATCAATCGATTTCAATGACCCCTGGTCTCACTACCAGCGCCAACCGGCGAGGATACCTGAAAAGCCAGGATGAGGCCCTATACCCGATCATGATACCCCCACCCACACATCTATCACCCCTTCCAAACATACTTCTACCATTTCACTCATTGATGAATTTACGACTTATGTGACATGCGCACGCACATGTGATATCCCACCGCAACGCTGAACCCCATGCAGGGTACAGATGTACTTTATTCATGCACTGAGATTTGAGTCAAGTGCATGGGTACATTTGGTTCACCCCCGGGCTCTCGCTCCCGGCCTTCAGACCCTGTCCCCATCGCCTATTGTGTGATTGAAATCACAACATCATGGTGGGGGACTCGGAATGTAGTTGCACATACACTACTTCTTGTATATAGACCGATTCGGTTAGTCTACGGACTCGTCTTGAATATGAACAAATACTATGAATATGGGAAATTTATTTATAATTGTAGAGATAGAGATGGCAGGGTCTTGATATGGGTGCCTAGGTTGGCGGCCATGTTATCAACTGCTTGAGAATAATCAATAGCCTTGGGATTCGGTAGTAAGCCGGCCTCTTGGCATAAATGCAGAAGGAAAATACGAAACAAAAGCGACCTTGCACTCATGATCCCAATTTCATACCTGCCAGTCTCCCACTCCTACCACACATGGCATAAATGCTTACATATTATCACCGACGCCGAATTATCGCCCAGAATCACGACAGGGAAAAGATCCCCAGCAAGGCCATAATCCACGCCCGATATCCTCGGGGCAAAATTCAAGTGACGACCGCGCAGAGCCGATTACTCTGAATGCAATGTCCTGTTCGTATTCATCTTGGCTGATTCATCGCTTGGCTAAGCGTACTTGTACACCGTCACGGACTAACTACTACCAAATACTAGAAAACCTTCGTATCGCCAAGGCATTTTTCGTCAGAAGTCCACGGGTCACTGACCTACACCTCACAGAGCCTACCTGACTTATACATTCTTCCCTTATAAGCAAACATTACTGTCCCAGCCCCACGGTATACTTCACCTTCGGGACCATGTCATCTTTACCACCAGTACCTACCTTCCTCGCCACGTCCTTGCTAGGATTGGGATTATGTCGACTCCTCGCTCCACGGGCTGCCTATAGACTTTTCGGTCTCCCACTATCCTCAAACAGCCCTCCATCCCCATTTCTTTATGCGAGTGCTGGCCGTGAGTTAGCTTTAGGTTTGACCTATGCGCTACTAGGACTGCAGGGTAATCGGGAAGGATTGAAGGCTCTGATGATTGGGACTGTGGTAAGTCGGCTCGAATTCATACTATGGGAGAGTGGAGGTGTGTATAAATCTGTTCTGGGCCTTGGACTGATTGGCCGGTTGGCTATTTAGATTGCTGCACAGGTTGACGCTTTTACGGTTTGGTATCATGGAGGCGCGGAGTTTGGTGGGTGGCGTGGGAAGTGGATTGGACATTTTCTTGGGGGTGTTATTTTGGGGATAATGGTTTGGAAAGGCCTCGGGGTCTGACTCTCAATTCTGAGTCACATTTTGCTAGATACTAGTAGATGTACTAGAAGGTACTACTATGAACTTTTCTCATGTCGAGGAAGTGGAGAGAATCAAGCTCGGAGGCCGGATATATGACTCGGACTGATTTCGATTTCTTTATCACTCAACTTATTCTCCTCCTCCCAAACTTCAAATACCCGTTTTGGTAGCGGAGTATATCAGCTGTTATACCTCCGAATTTCTATAGCAAGTTCCACCCGAGCACATTAAATTGCCAAGCTTCTATCGGCATAATTTCGGATCCATATAAGATCTAGCCTGCCGAAAGGAGTAATCTTCATCGCGGGTTCCGTAGGTGCCGAGATCTGAAGGCATAATTTCGGCATTCTAGAATCTATGACTTTCCGAAAGCAGTATTATTTGTTGCAGGTCTATGCAAGGACCCTTTTGGTTGTTTCCATCGGTACATCTGAAGTTGGGGTATGCAAGCTTGGGGTTAATTCATTCTTCTTCCAAGGTTGATTGGGTAGTCTGAGCAAAGAAACCTAAAACCTATGTCACATATAAGCTTCAAATATTAACATAGCGTCAATGGCTTGGAAAATGTTCTTCGATTGCCACTAGTACCTACTGACCGTCCACCTTGACGTTCTTGGAGAGCTGCACACAACGTTGAATCTAGCAGGGCAGATTCCACTTTCACCTCGAGCTGGATATCTCCTTAAGCTGCATACCTTCTAACTGATCCTACATTCCACAACCAGCACGAATATGGAGATGCAGCCAGAATTGCGGGTACGGAGAAATGTCGGGAATGTCAAACTTTCAGACAAAAATTTCCCCACAACCCCGTGGGGAGATGACCCACTTGTTGTACAATCCCAACTTCTTCAGGAAGGTCTATAACCCGGCGCAATACGACATTGCCAATCTATGCATCTTCACTACTTAAACATATCTGAATCTTCCGAGTAGATGATTCTGCAGAGCTCACCATGAAGTTTCTACAGATCTTGCACTTACTGGGTGCTCTGGGTGCTTCCGCAAGGGCGGCCGCAGAAAGTGATGATGCGGTAAGTGGCGCTTTGTCACATCTCCAAGATCACCGAGTCTAACAGCAGTTATCTCAGGCTATCTATGCCAGAGCCGTGGCCCCCCATATGTCCCAATCCAGCCTCAAAGCTATCGCTGGATGACTTGCCTTACAAGAACTACTTCTACTCAGACTGCAATGTCGCCGCCCAGGCTGTCGTCACCAGCCCGCTTCCTGACAGCAATCTTTCAATCATCGGACCCCGTCTGATTGTAGCGTGGCCAGCTGGAAATAGCGGTGTCTGCACCTTTTTCGCGCCGCAGACGGGCGAAAATGGTACATTGGCAATTGAGCTTATCAATTCTACCGACGCCCACCCTCTGAGCCCAGTCTACAACGCATCTTCCAATGGACCTCCTCACGTCGGAATCCAGGGCGTCCTGCGATTCAATTCGTCTGCAAAGCTTACAGTTCCCATTCTGGGAAGTATCCGTACAATCCGCGACTTCGTCGAGGGTCCTAGTCTCCTCTATCCCGAGATTCAGGATGCAGTCAAATTCTCTTCCTCGGGCAATGGGAGCGTCTCGCTGCAGCGTACCTGGTTAGACAATACAACGATGACGACCCTCACATTCCAGCCTTGGATTAATTCTACTTCCAAGAATGATGGCGGCGTCTCTCTGGATAACCGCACTGTCGCCTTCGAAGCTGGCGATTATCTCTTTTCAGCGACAATTAATTATCCAGAGCTTACACCGCTGAAGCCTGCCGCAGTACTCAATAATGCATCGAATAACCTCGCTACGACTATGTCAGGTCAAACGACTGCTCTTTCATTCTTATCGTACTCAGAGAAGCTTCTAGCGGGCGCGTGGCGTTTTCTGACGTATTTTGGCCGTGACTCGATGATCGCCACTTTACTGCTAGAGCCTGTGTTGAGCTATGGCGAGGGAAGTGCCACGGAGGCTGTTATCGGCGCAGTTTTGGAAAGAATTAATCGGACCGACGGTACTGTCTGTCATGAGGAGACAATTGGGTTAGTATCTTGGAAAGTGGAACTGGAGTATTTACTAAGCCTTGTACAGAGACTACGCGACTTGGACCAATGAACAGGAGAATATCACAAGCACTGCCATGGGTTGTGATTACAAGATGGTACATATGTTCTGGACGAGTTCTATCCTTGAAAATAATAGTACTGACTATTCTATCAGGTCGACTCGGATTACTATCTCCCCGTCTTGATGCAGCGATATTTTGTCGAAAATCCAATCGGCCAAAAGCGAGCTGCTAAGTTCTTCAAGTAAATAATCCATTCCGATGATATGGAGACAACGTCTAATTCTTTTTTCAGTACCACTGCAGGCTCGGTCAATCCGGCAAACAAGAACTTGACCTGGGGAGATTTAGCCCTGACCAATGCGGAGAGAATCATGCGTCTTGCGGGCCCTTTTGTGAAGAACCAAACCAAGGAAAACCTCATTCACCTTCATGAGGATCAAATTGTTGGGGAATGGAGAGACAGCACCTACGGTATGTTTTTATTTCCCATTAAAAGACTCAAGCCACGCTGACAACTTTTTCAGGCCTTGGTGGAGGCCGCATTCCCTACGATGTGAATACAGCGCTTGTGCCAGCAGGTCTCCGATCTATAGGAGCCCTGTCTCGCGCAGGTATACTCCCAGGCAGAAAGCAGTGGGGCTCTCTTGCAGATAAATACGCGAAGGTCTGGGAAGATAACACACTGGACTTCTTCAGCGTGACTATTCCTCAGTCGAAGGCCAAATCTTTAGTCACATCCTTTTCGAAAGACCATTTTGCAGGACCAAATCAATCTTCCGCCATTGATACTGATGTCACATTCCATGCTGTTGCTCTGGACGGATATAACAATCTGTCCAAGGTGGAGGTCATGAATACGGATGATTGCTTCCGTCACTTTCTCCTCAACACCACAAACGATGAACAACTCACACCATTCTTGAACGGCTCTGCCACAAATATCCGTCGCACTTTCCCAGCTGGCCTGATGACTGATGTTGGTATGATCGTCGCAAACCCCGCATTCGGAGAGGACCCCGTATACGCGCAGAATTTCACAACCGGAGCATACCATGGCACAGTTGTGTGGTCGTGGCAGCTAGCAATGATGGCCAGGGGATTGGAGCTGCAGCTAGGACGATGCGAGGTCACTTCGAACTTCTCGGTCAACTCTGAATCTGTGAAGAGAGGCCATAATTCCAAAGCAGTAATGCCTACCCCGGAGTTCTGCACTGATGACTCTGTCTATACAAATGTGCGGGCCGCGTATAACGTTCTCTGGGACTCGATTGAGAAGAATGAGGCTCAACTCTCGAGTGAGGTCTGGTCTTGGGTTTATCGGAATGGTTCCTTCCAAGTCACGCCATTGGGCGTATTACCTGCTCCACCTGGGGTTGGAGGTCAAACTGGTAAGTAATTCCACAGTTTTGCTTTTGATACTCCTTTCGCACATTCTTGCTTCTCTTTGTATTTTTGCTGATGCTAGAATTTTGCAGAATCCAATATCCGACAGTTGTGGTCTCTGACCTTCCTGGCTGTGACTCGAAACGAAAACTATAAATAGTTACGTTCAGTGCTCACGTCTACGAAGAAACAATTGCTCCCAGCTTTTTGAAAATGAGTCAAGTATGGAGTTTGAAGACTCGGGGCGTTACTTACTACGTCAAGTTCTGGGCACGGAGTCATAGCTCCGAGTCCTTATCTGCGGTTTATATCCAAGTTTTCATCATATGTTATGGTACTCAATACAATCCCTTCGTATTCAAGTTTCTAGCAAGAAGATAGACATTCAGAAAAGCAAATCTTGGAAGCTAAATAAAATCCCGGCTATTTGCGCGATTTCAAAGACCTCTTGAGCCAGGGAAGAGTACTAGTAGCTCCTCCGTTGGGAGAAGCACATATCGTCGTGGTAGAACTTACTTCCTCAGCCTCTATCCGGGTGCCCTGATCCCCTCTCATATCGCGATCCCCATCCACGTCGTGTTCATATGGCGGTGGAGAAGAGTAAGAGACTTCGTCCATAACACGATTTTGAATGATCTCTTTAGATGTGGCATTCGAATTACTGCTTGGACCCGGTTCCAAATAATTGGATTTTGCCTTCCCCGTATAACTTTTACCTGATGCCTGGTTTGAGGCCGGTTGTGGCATAGGCTCTGCACTGAAATAAGCGTCCGCTAAACGAAGCAGAACGGTCGGGTTGTCACTCTCAAGCACGACCTTATATTGTTGTTTAAGAAGGCTCCCCTCACTGGCCCAGTAAGGATCTCCAGGGTCTTTCCATTTCATACAACAGGGACATCCCCAAGAGCAATGCCCACTTATACCTGTCATTGATGGGCGAACTACTGGCAATCGCTTGATGCAACAACCGCAGCTTCGACCGCAACAGCCACCACTTCGCTTGCAATAAGTAACAAGTTGATCAGAAAAATACCATCTTGGATCTCGTTCTGCAAAAGCCAATGGAAGAGCTCTAGGGGGCAGAGCGAGCTCTTTCAAAAAGAGGTTCATTTCGCGCATAGAATATTTGACAATTGCATAGAGTGGCGTCACTTTAGAGCTTGCCTTCAGTTGAGCAGCGACTCGGACTTGATATTCAGCAAATAGAAAGTCACTCATGATATTTGATGGGCATTCATAGAATTTTTCGTTGTATTTATATCTGAATCGCCGAGAGAAACTGCCAGTAGCCTCTGAAAAAATTGGCTGAAAGAACAGCTGCAGCTCGGCTGAGGATATCCCCTTACGACGTAAATCCATCTTTCCTAAAGGGTCCTGTCGACAGATACGGATGGAATTATCTTGAATGATGGGATATAACGTGAATGAGGTGTAAAGAACGATTGCTGTAAGCAAAAGTCGAGGAGAGAAAAACTCGATCATAAGAATGATGATGTATTACTAGTACTTTGCTGGCGCCGACTACAAATTACCAGAGATTGAACTTAGATTTATTCAAGTATAATTCAGGGGTTTCAAAAACGACCAAGCCTGTAAGGGGCAAATGGGAAGTATCTCTTAAAGAGGACTAGTCCTGGGGTTAAATGCGACTACTAGTAGTTGACACTAAAATAAGCAAGCATTGGGTAAAAAAAAATAGTGGGGCTTATGGCATTACTTTTCTTCTACCCAAGATCTACCGTAGATCTACATAGTTACTGGGTGCATTGTCACTGCTCCATACCCAAACCATAACTACCCACCACCCACAGGCATGTCAATTTCAAAGTCTAGACCTACTAGTAGCTCCTATGGCTTGGAGAAATTTTCCCAGACCATGCTTTTCAGTATGTGATGGGATGTGCTGGAGAAGGGATGATCATGGATGACCCTGGATGACCCCCTTTATCGACCATGCAGGACGGCCGAATACGTAGTCGACTCCTTCCGAACCCCCTTGAAAGAATTCCGACTTTTGATGTCTTGCGAAAATCATCGATTCTTATTTTCCGGCAATCCCAAGTTCCAACCCATGAAGCTATCCCAACCCAAACTTGCCGAACCCAAGAAAGGCAATGACGATCAAAACCATGGACCATCGCCTTCACCATCGATTCTGTCGGGGCCCGAAAAAATCCTGTCGATTATCATCGTCACCACCATGACTTTTCTGGGTCCGGCACCGATGAGCATTTACTTTCCCATCCTGAGTAGTTTGTCGCGAGATCTGCACGTCTCCCCCAGTCGAATGAGCCTTACCATCACCGTGTACATGGTATGTTTTATGGCCGAGTCCCCGGTCTAACTATCCTTCGCATCAAGCCAAGACCACCTCGCTCATACCATTTAGATTACCCAAGCCCTCTTCCCTCTGTTAACGGCGAGCTTTTCGGACCAACGTGGACGTCGACCGGTCTTCTTAGTCTGCCTGACGGTATATCTCGGCGCCAACATCGGCCTCGCGTCACAGACCAGCTTCGCCGCACTGATGGCGCTACGCTGCCTGCAGAGCTTCGGCGCCAGCAGTCTGTCCGTGGTGGGCATCGCTGCCATGACGGATATCATCACCCGTGCGGAACGTGGGAAATACCGCATCTACACATCCTCCGGCTACACCTTGGCCAGTCTGCTCGGCCCCGTCATGGGCGGCCTCCTCGCACAATTTCTCGGGTGGAGAAGTGTGTTCTGGTTCCTGGCCATATTTGCCGGGGTCATGCTCCTTCTCATCCTGATGTTCTTGCGCGAGTCGTGTCGCACGGTGGTACGCGACGGGAGTGTGCCACCGCAGCGCTGGAACCGGGCTCTGATCGACTGGATGCATCCACTCGAATACTGTTCCGAATCGCCCCCTCAACCCGGTTCGACTTGCAGGCGCGGAGTCCTCGATACCATCCGACTCCTCGGCAGCTGGCAGACTGGTTTGCTGGTGGCGTCCCAGGCTGTCCTCTTCTGCGGCTCCATGGCCATCTTCGCCAGTATCCCGCTGCTCTTCCAGCGCAAATACGGCTTCCAGATCTGGCAGATTGGGCTTGTCTACGTGCCATATGCCGCCGGTGGATTCGCCGCACGCTGGATAGTCAGTCATCTCACGGCGAAGAATATGCGGCGATACCGCCGTCACATCGGCGCGGAAGTCATAGACCCCCGGGAGTTCCCTTTCGAGCGCGTCCGTCTGGAGGTTATCCTCCCTCTCAGTCTACCTGGCTGGTGCCTGGGTGATTGTCTACGGCTGGATTATGCAACGGGATGTCCATGTGGCCGGCCCGCTGGTGGTTCTCTTTTTCACCGGCAATGCCACCACGGGGGCGAGTGTCGGACTTACTGGGTTGCTGCTGGGAATTCATCGACGCCGGCCCGCGATGGCGTTGGCGGCGGCCAATATGGCACGGTTCCTGTGCGCTGCTGGCGCAGTGGCGGCTATCATCCCTGGAATCAAGCTGATTGGCATCGGCTGGATGGGGACAGTGGTAGCTGGTATATACCTGATGATGTCGGGGATGTTGTGGGTGGTGTATTATCATGGACAGCGCATGCGACCCAGCAACTTGAAGAAGGGTATTGGCCTGCTACAAAGAGCAAATGCATGAGTGTGAATGTAGTATGGATATACCTAGCGACGTGGATTATGTATACAGGGCTTCAAGTTGCGACCCCGAAGTCAAACTACCATGCCTTAGTTATATCCCCATTCCAGTTTTCATTAAAATAGCTCGCTCAACATTGTCCGCACGTCTTCGGGATCTTTCCGGTCAAGAGAATCCCGTTCAAATCGTTTCACCCGCAGGAAATGTTCGAGAGCCGAGCTGTCCATGAGCTGACCGAGTTGGACGACCTCCTTCTCGAGCAAATCTAGGGCGGCATCCAGGGTTCGGGGTAGCGGCACTGGCTCCGCGGCCATCACTTCATTTGCCTTACCCCCCATGGTATCCATTGGACTTCTCAGGGATCCCATTCAACTGGTGCCCAGCAACTCCATTTCCCCGAGGTCTCTCCCTGGTCGAATCCGCCCACCGCAGCGTTTCCTCATTCTCGACTCCCAATAGACCCGCCCCCCAATACCGAAGCCAACGCCAAATACATATTCGCCGTTGCATCCACGCACCGCAGCTCCCAATGTCCTTCCTCAATCCCTCTCACCGGAACGGTGCGATCCTCCATCCCCCCATGCCACCACCTCACCCCCCAAATACGGCTGAACCCGCTCATATGAAACCTCAAACGGCATACAAACCGCACACAGCCCGGGGAGTCTACCCAGGATCCCCGCTAGAAACTCCGGCGCGGCCTCTGTTCGGGATATCGAAATATGCGTATGCTGTCCTGTCGCCTGCCGCCGACTCGCCACGGGACGTGGCGCCATTGTCGCGATCAGACCATGTCGGGCCAGTTCCCGTTTCAAAGTATCGTGAACGAAGACGAGTTCGTCGACGGCCTCGAGGGGGGCACGGGGGGGTCAGGGAGAGCTCGTATTGCCCGCGCCGGCCTTCAGTTTGCATGGTCTGGATGCCGACACCAGCGTCGAGGAGATGGTGGACAGTTTCTTCGATTATGGGGTATATGTCGGCGCGCAGCCCGTCGACGGCAAAGCGGCCGAGGGATGTACTTGCCGGAGTGAGGGAAGTGAGGGAGGAATTGCTATGTGGAGGGGTTGACGAGGGTGTTTCTCGGCGGAAGACTTCGAATTCGACTTCGAAGCCGACCCGAAAGTACAGGCTGAAGGACTGCGCGGCATGGCGGACGATGGTAGTTAGGGCTCGGCGGGGGCAGAGGCCAAGATCCAAGGGGCGCGACGGAGTAGCAGCAAGCACCCCACACATGACGGTTGCGGTGGGATGTGGAGAAGATGGAAGGAAGCGCAGGGAAGTCCAGTCTGGGATGAGAAAGTGATTGCCGGTGGGATCGAGATCGGGGAGGAGATTATTGTCGACGATGCAGTGAAAGGAAATGGGCGGGATGTGTACGGGCTTTTGGGTGGCTGTTAGGGTTAGGAGATGCTGCGGCACAACGAGGCGTGCGCGCAAGAGACCGGAATAATCTTGCCATTGGAGACGGAGGAATCGTAATTCGGGATGAAGAGTAAGAAAATCGCGGAGTGGACTGGCTGGGTCGATGGGGATAGGGTTGTTGGTGAATTGCCCGACATATTGATCGAGTCGAGGGGATACCATGGTGATGTGATACTCTTCTGATATGTTGATCCGAGAGATCCCTTTCTCGCCGTGGGGTTGAAAATTTCAAGTTCTCATGCACAGCTGTTTATATATAGTAAAGAGACATGGTAAGCAAAACGCTGATGCATCGTGGTGTTCAATAGTCGGTCGGACATTGCAGGACGCTGGGTATAACAATGTACAGATGAGGCACTGATCTACCTAGGCATCAACAGCCCTGAGGGCGGTAACTTCCAAGGTTGAAACCCTGTACTTTTTAATGTTCGAGTAGTTACTACTAGAACTCCTATATAGTAATTCGAATTTCTCAGGTGCCGACAGGAGGCGAGGTGTGTTGTGGCTCATTAAGATCTCGTCCGCAATGACCGTCACTCTGCCTTTCCCAAACGAGACGCATTTTCGAGTGTTGCTAAAGCACTGCGAAGAGTCATCCCCCGACGATGTCTTCTTTTATGACTCCTCCTGCGGAATTGAGGCGAATCACCAACAGTTTCTACAGGATGTATATGCCACGCGACAGGGATTGTTGAACGGGCTTCCCAGGGTTCTCTTCAACGACCAGGACATTATTCATGAGGAGCGTCCATTCATCTGCCTATTGAATCAGGGAAATTATGAATACATTGTGGCGGCTTTTGCGGTGCTGATTCTTGGAGGAGCAGTGGTTCCTTTGTGTGGGTGCTCTCTCTTTTCCGCCGGTCTTTTTCACTGGTACATTCAGGAAGAAGACTATTATATTAATGGCAGCAGCCCCAAACATCCTCCCGGAAGAAGCCTCGCATTTAATGAAGCAGTGCCAGTCCGTCGTCCTGATGGCTGGACCGAGCGTCTCCGACCATGCCAGCGCGATTCAGCAATACGCCTTGAGCCAGCAGCAGGACATCCACGTCCGGTCAATTTCTATACATAGCCCTCAGCAACTAATCCGACCCTCAATTGAAGAGGCCATGATTATCTCACCCGAGCGGCCCAGCATGCTAGTCTTCACCTCCGGCACAGTAGGACCGCCCAAGGGCGTCGTCCATGCGCGCCGCCTTCTGGACTTGCCCTACACTCCAGCGAAACCCGGGGCATATCTCAACTGCATCTCGCTGTGGACTGTCGGCGCCGTACGGTTGATCAAGCATACACTATACGCACGTCGCATCGAAATTATCCGTCCAGACCCTGGCATCTTGTGGGAACGTCTGCGCAAAGGCGGCGCCGCCTTTCTCGCTGCGGTGATCCCGGTCTGGCAGGCTTTGATGGAATATTTCCAGCAAAATCTTGACCATCTACCAGCTGCGCAGCGGGAGGAGTATTTGCGCGGTCTACGTGGTCTAAATACTGCCATGGTCACCGGCGGAACACTGATCAGGTCGAGACTGCGGTTCTGGAGCGACCTGGGGAAGCCGTTGAAGTTGTGCTACGGCGTGACAGAGCTGGGGAGGATATGTCTCGTCACAAGAAACGAGGTATCAGTGGATCGGAATGTGAGTTTACATACCTTCTGGTCTCCGGAGAGGATGGACTTGTAACTGACTGGTTTCTGTATTCTCTAGAATTGCCTTGGACAGCCGGTCTTGGGAACAACCATTAAGCTTTCTGAAGGGGATTATGGAGAGCTACTGATCAAAAGCCCGAACGTATTCATGCGGTACGTATCATAGCCGCGCGAGTATGCTATACGAATACTTCGACTTACCCAGACGGAAGCTATCTGAATAATCCCGCCGCCACAAAAGCGGCCTTTACGGACGACGGGTTCTACCGAACGGGTGATATGGTGTCGCGAGAAGACACCGACTATTTCTTCCATGGCCGCGCCTCAACAGACTGTGAGTCACTAGCATCCATTATCCGGTATCAAATACTCACACTCTCGCAGTCATAAAGTACTACGGCTATCAGATCCCTATCCCCGCCCTCGAACAGCAGCTCAACGAACTCCCTTGGGTGAGGGAAGGCTATATTCTCTCCATGCCAGACGAACGCTGCGGATACCGCGCCGCCGCCCTAATCCGACTCATCAAGGATCCCAACGCTGATCTTCAGCCAGCCACCTTTGACCTGCCGAATCTACGCGCACAATTAACTGACAAGATAGCCGCATTTATGCTGCCCACCGCTTTGAGGTTCTTGCAGGAGGAGGAGACCGTGCCGCGCACGATATCGGGCAAGATCATCCGCCGGGACGCCGCAAGGCAATTTTTTCCGTGGGCGAGAATGGATGTTGCTCGGAGGCGACGGTACAGGTGTGGCTGGCGCGGCCATCGGTGTGTCGGACGAGTATCAACCGGGCGTGGGATTGGGCTGGGGCGCCGATGTGAAGAGGATCAGCCCTAAGTTGCGGTCTATCGTTTCGTTAGAATGTGCATGATGCCTGCCGCGCCGCGTGGGAATAATACATACTGATTACACCGCTCTACAGTAGCACTGCTCTCATCCTCTCCCGTAATGTCTTCAAATCTACGTGTAAATAGACGGTGAAGAACCTAATCTATCCCTTACTTACTAGTTACTTTAAACTTTAATTGGCCGCTGCCTGGGATCAAATGCTTTTGTACCTCTCCAGGCTCTCGTAACTGTATTATATGCCGATCTTTTGTTTACGTTTCAGTACAATACCATACATCATGCTGGCGGCCGTAGATTTCTAAGATAGTGAGAGCATCTCGTACCTCTGAGACCAATACATTCCACTGATCAAACCGGCCCTAACACCTCCCTCATCCTCTCCCGCAATGGCTCCAAATCTAAATAGACGGTGAAGAAGCTAATCTGGCTCTCCCCAACTCCTTTTCCAAACACCGCAAGGCCTTGCGCTTCAATTGGCCGCTGCTCTGGATCCCCCTTGACGACATATGTTACCGTGGCTTCCTGGTAGATGCGCTCGTGCGTGACATCAACATGCCGTATAGTATGTTTCATGCATTCAAGTCGAGCAAACTGGCGGCGGAAATGGGCGATGATAGCCTCGTGGCCGTGTACTGGTGGCTGGCCGAGGAATTGCATTGTGCAGTCGGGGGTGTAGAAAGTTTCCACCCACATTTCAGGTGAGAGAGAGTCGCCGAGGCGGTGGAATGATTGAAGCCATTCATGCGCAGCTGCTGTTTCTGGCGCTTTTTTTGATGGATTGGTCATGGTTGGGGTTCTGCTTTGGGGGTTGAAGTAAGTTGAGGGAGGTCGATGGTAGTTTGTTCGTTGGGAGTTAAGGGGAAGTGCCTTGAAATAGACTCGTTGAATTTGCTGATCGGCGTGGAAAACGCCCTTCCGATAGTCCATGAATAGTCTCTTTCAAAGGGTCTTAGTCTATGCAATATTACGTCGATAGTTCTATCTACCCAAGACAAACAGAGACAAGACGACCGAACGCATGGGCACCCGGAATCGAGGAAGATCTACTCTCTGGAGATGGATGATGCTTGGTAGTAGCCTAATCCATACTCCGTACATTCTCCTTGTATACGACTTCTACGACAATCCATGGTGTCTCTGTCCCACTCGTTATAAAACTATAGATATTCATGGATAGCGCGAACATCGTGGTCTCCTGCCATCCCCGAATCCCCAAATCAATACAGTGGAAGCCCTAGCCAAACATGATATTCCGCTCGCGACTCCCCCTGCCCCCCGTCCCCCAATGTGATGTGTTCAACTTCATCTTCCACCACAGCCGGCGAGACTACCCTCGCAATCGCGTGCTCTACAGCGTCGATGGTACCGACGAGCAGCTAACTCTGGCTGAGTTGGAGGCCCAGAGCCGACGCTTGGCCCGCGCCCTCCGCTCTCACTATGGCATCAAACCGCAAGATGCCGTCGCCATCTTCGCCCGTGACAAGGTAAAACTTACGGGCCTCTCTCAATGAATTCATTTTGTCTAACGGCCATCAGATCCAATATCCCATCGCATTCTTTGGGGCGTTGGCGGCGGGTGCCACTATCGCCCTGATTCCCGTGCAAGCATCTACTGTCGCCAGCGACGTCGCCCGTCATCTGCAGCAGATCAACGCCCAACTTCTCATCACCGATACCGATGTGCTTTCACTGGCCGAGGCTGCATCCGCCATGCTAGACGGACAAGTCATGCCCCTGGTAACCCTCGACGACACTTCCAACTGCCAGTATCCTTCACTTGCCACCCTCACGACAAACACAACCTACTGCTACGAGGACATCTTCAACCTGGACACCCCTGAGGCTGCCGACTCCCATACGGGCTTCATTAACCGCACAAGCGGCTCAACGGGTAACATGAAATGCGTCCTTGTCAGCCACGCACATTTCATCGCCACCCTCGAAGGCACACGCGCGACTATCCCCGCCAACACATCCCCCGACACAGACACATGGCTCTCTCCACTATCCCTCGGCTTCTTCATCAACGCAAAGCTAAACATGGGACTTAACATCCTCCTAGGCATCCGAGTCATCTTGGTACCCTCCAAGCCAGACCTCGACGCCGCATCAACCGTCGAGCTTATCGCCCGCCACCGAATCACCTTCCTCTTCGTCACGCCTCCGCTGGCGGCACAGCTTGCCCATGTCGAGACATCATCATCAAAGACGAAGTCAATCAAATGGCTGCTTTCAGCTGGGGCTCCAATCCACGAGAATCTTCGGACGGCAGTATCGCGTCGCTTCCACGATATCCCGCTGAGCCTTGAACTCGGCACTGCGGAGACTATGCTCATCTCTATGCAATTTGACGAGGATTCTCGCGCCCCGGGGTCAACAGGTACTCTTGTGAGTGGAACAGAGGCCAAAGTCGTCAACCCAGAAACGAAACTGGAGCAGAGGGGATGGGGCCCCCAACACGCAGGTGAGCTCCTCGTCCGCAACTGTCTAGCCCGGTACCGGGGATATCAGAACAATGATGCAGCCAATGCCGCCGCATTTGATGCCGAGGGCTGGTTTCACACGGGGGATTTCGGGTACCTCGATGAGAAGGGAAATGTCTATGTCCTGGACCGGATCAAGGAGCTAATCAAGACTGGCGGAGGGTACGGGGTACACGTGTCTGCCGCGGAGCTGGAGGAGGTCTTGTTTATGCATCAGGCGGTTGGAAGTGTGGTGGTTTTAGGGGTACGCGAGGAGGGCAGCCAGAGGGATTTGCCGACGGCTTTTGTGGTGCCCAAAGGGGATGACTGGGAAAAGCAAAAGATGGGGGAGGTACAGGAGGCCATTGAGAGATTTGCGGAGGAGAAGTTGACGGGCTTGCAGAAATTGACTGGGGGAGTTTATTGTCTTTCCGAGTTGCCCCGGAAGGGATTTAAAGTGAATCGGTCGGCTTTGAGGGAGTTGGCGAAGATGCAGCGGGGATGTACCACCATCACATCGTGACGGTGGGGGAAAAGTCTATTAGCTAAGTTTGTATTAAGAATTCCAAGGTTTGAATATAATATGTTACGCCAGTTGGCATAGAAAGGATGAGAAATATGCATATTTTATATTGTCCCAAGGTCACGGTGTTCTGAACCTCCGGCCGAGAAATTAGGGCTAAGCCCGTTCAAGTTGCCTTCACAGTCTAGGAGTCTGAACGATATATCGAATGTGCATATATTTCAAAGAATCGAGAAGCCTTCCTAGACTCCTATCTAGTAAGATAAATTCACATTAGTGAGGATACCCCCACTGGCTCGGGGGCCAAAGGGTCCATTCGTGAACTTCGAAAACACCCAGACGATATTCATCTGACTTTCAACGCAATCTCCTACTCAGGTTCTACCGTGTCCCAACTCAAACAACGCCGCCCCAATCCCACGCCCGATTCGTCGTCATTTCCTCCACCCCCAGGTTCCAAACCTCCACCTTGCCCGACAATTCTCCATTCTCCGTAGGAAAGAACTTCTGCAAAGCAGGATTCCTAGACAACTTGCCCTCCGGACTACGTGGTAGCTCCTCGTCACTGTTAACCACACGCAACACCGTCGGCAACTTATAGATGGCCAGCACCGCGGCTAGATCTTTCCGAAGTTTCCCCAGCGTCAGTGATGCTTCTCCCGCACCTAAAACCACGAGTGCGCCGACTCGATGGCCATATTGAGTGTCTGGAATGCTGAGTACGTATGCCTCGACCATGTAGGGCAGGTCGCATAGATGCGACTCGACCTCGTAGACTGAGACACGAAGCCCGTTGAACCGGACGACTACACCACTTGTCAGCCGATTGCCTCAGAATAGGAGACGGAGGAAAAAGAAATGGAGAAGGGAAAAAGAGAGTAAAGAGAGCAACTTGCAATCCGCCGATACACGGCCGTCAAAGACGAACATGCCCTGGTCATCTTGGTGGACGAGATCTCCCGTCCGATAGAAGCCGTTGTCATCGAATGCCGCACGCGTGCGTTCTTCATCATCGATGTACCTGGCATCATTAGAATTAATCTCGCCGGAAGAAAATAATATAGGAGGACATACCCGATCATCATCGTCGGGCTTTTGATCAACAACTCCCCATGGTCGCCATCTGTCAACTTGACCTCAGTCCCAGCCAACGGACGCCCAATAATCGGCTACATTAACCAGTCAGTCAGTCCGCTAGTAAGTGGCTACAATCCAGATGACCAGAACTCTCACCTTCAAAGCCGCACTCTCGCTCGCGAACCGAAACACCATCGCCTCCCTCCCCAACTCCGATGCTCCGTACTTTACCATCCAGTCCCTCTCCTTGCGCAAGCGGAGCCAGAACCGCTTCGCAACTGGTAAGGGCATCCCACCCCCAAACCAGACGACTCGCAGATTTTGAGCGCCCTCATCATACAGGATACGCTCATCCTCGGGTAGGCCCCGCAGCTTCTCTTCGTAGTGCGTCATGAGCACCTGCCAGAAACGAGTAGCACCCGCTAGCACGGTGACTCCACCGCCGCGGAGTCGTTCCCAGATCGGCGCTGGCTGGATCCCGGCAGGAAAGAGCTCGATGCGCGCGCCGACGTAGACTAGGTCACTTAGATTCAGGACCCCGGGTAAACCGTTGACGGCGCGATAGACGATGGCGGTATCATCGGCAGTGCAGTCGGGTGTGACGTGGGGAAGAAGAGTTGGCGAGGCAGGATAGCACCCTTTGGAGGACCTGTTGTGCCCGATGTAAATAGGAGGAGGCCTGGCTGGGTGGAGGGGAAAGTTAGGGTTGGGTCGATCTGAGGAAGCCCGGGGGATGAGCTTAAGTTCGGGGGATGTTCAATTGAGATCAGTGGAAGTTGGCTACTACTAGAAGGGGTGATAGTAGTAGGTCCATGGGATCGAATCTGGGAGGCGAGCGGAATCTGCTCTGGATGGGCAAGCAGGCAGATGGCATTGCATTTTTTCACGAGCCAGGCGCCTTCTTCGGGGAGCACTTTGATTGCTAGGTATAGGATTTTAAATGGTCAGTCACGGGCGAAAGTGGGAAATGAATAGAATAGTAGCAAAGGCTAGTATACATAATGGTACGGCTGCAGCCCCCAAGGCGATGACGGCGTATAAGGCAATGATAAAGTCGTAACTGAGGGGAGCAAGGATGGCGATATAGACTCCTGGGGTCTGGAGTCTTCCGTGGTGGTTTATATGGTGTGATGGTAGCTGTGAGAGGATTTTGTTTTGAAAGGCCACGACATCGTGAAGCAATTGGGCTGTGGTGGCATCCTTGTTATGAGTTGGATCATGGACCAGGATGTTTGGGTTGACTTGGGCATTGTTGAGTAATTGTCTGAACAGTGGATCATTTGGGAGATTGACTGTTTGGGAGATGGTACTAGTAGTAGGAAGAGGCATGGTGGAGGGGGGCTGTTTGATGTCTTGCAAAAGGAACCCGTGGACAGAGGAAGAAAGACAGAAATTCAAACGAAATATGAATAAACTTAAGTTGATTTCAAGCTCGTGGCGTCGAGATCCACTCATATATGGATGGATACTCCGTATTCCGTCCTATGGTATTCATGTAGATCATCCCGGGTGTGATCAAAAGATCTGAGCCCATGCTTCCAATGTGACTCGTCATGTTTCTACATAGCTGATCATGATATCGATCCCAAGCAGCGGTGAGCAGCTCTGTGCCACCTGGGCAGTGGGGCCCGAGAATAATCGATGAGATACTATTCTACGAGTATGATCTTTCCTACCGTTGATTATTCCAGACTTCATTTTATACCCATCATCCTATGCTACATTTAGGTGAATTCCACCATGAGCTTTTCCAACGAACCCTTCTTCCAACGTCTGGTTACATTTGCCAATGGTCCTCCTCGTGTTATAATCTGCGATGATATCTCAGGTATTAGAGTTACCTATCGACAGCTGATGTCGGGGGTGCTTCGATTCCGGCAACTCCTTCAGCAGCGACTGCCTCAAACCACCCTGGATAGCAACAAAATGCTTCGTGAACCTATCGGTATAGGAATCCTCTCGCCAGCCAGCGTAGAATTTGTCGTTGCATTCCTGGCAATCCTGTCTCTCGGCGGCATCATTGTTCCGTTATGTATATTCCCACAGTCACTCTTCCCTGAGATAAAAGTCGTAGCTAAAAAGAAGCATCTATAGCCACAGCCGAGTCGGCCGAAGCAACCTGGGACCGCATCGCAAAATCCAACGCTGCATGTGTTGTATACAGCCCACAGCAAGCCGAACTCATGTGGTTCATTCGGCGCCGAGCCCTGCTCACCAACGACCAGGATATCCAGTCCATTGCCATCAGCGCTCACGCCGGTGACACCGCCACAAATCTTCTATTCACCACAGACCATCCGACTCATTTCCCATCCACACGCACCGCACTTCTCCTCTTCACCTCTGGAACCATGGGTCCGCCCAAAGGCGTCCTTCACTCGAGGCAATTCTTCAACGCTGACGTCGATCCCATTGGCACCGAGGCCGACGTCCTCCTCTTCACCCGAGCAGCGGGCTATATTGGATCCATTCGTCTGATGGTCAACATGCTCCTGCGTGGCATTCGAATTGAGCTGTGGCCGTACTTGGTGGACGCGGACATGATTTGGGAGCGTCTGCGCCAGGGCGGAATCACCGGACTTCATTTGTTGCCAACTATATGGCGGAAGCTAATGCTCGTGTACCGCGATAAGTTGAGTATGCTTCCCCCCATAGAGCGGGAAGAGTACTGCGCCGGGGCGCGCCAGCTGCGCGAAGCGACCGCCGGAGGGCAGGTAATGCTGCAGGAGGTCAAAATGTTTTGGCAGGATATGCTAGGCGGGCGATGCGTGACTGTTATCTATGGCGGGACGGAGATGGGGATTTCGCCGTTCAAAGCGTTGGGAGAGGATTCTCTTATGGAGGTGGGTATCTTTTGTGTTTCTGCGAATAGAAATGTCCGTGATGAGGCTGACACCCGAGGGGTTAGCGAACTATTGGGAAACCTGTGTCCGGGGTGGACTTTAAGCTGAGTGAGGGCAGCAGAGGAGAGTTGCTTGTCAAGACTCCTGTGCTTTTTACAGGGTATTTCCCCAGCCACACAGGTCGAGTCTTTGCACGATCTGACTTGCGTCTACAGGTACCTGGATAACCTCAAGGCCACATGCAATGCATTTGATGACGAGGGATTCTTCCGCACTGGCGATATCGTCCGCTACAACGGCAGCGCGTATGAGATTGAAGGTCGGGTCGAATGTGACTGTGGGTATTCCGGGGAATTTCCCTCATTATTTTTTTTTTGGCTATCTTCAAGCTAATCCCCTCTGTGCATAGTCATACCAACCTTCGGTGGTAGGGTATCAGTGCCCAAGATCAGTAAAGCTCTCCTTGAGCTTCCTCAGGTGGCAGAAGGGCACATCTTCGCTGTTCCAGACCCCAAGTACGTCAATCATATTGCGGCTCTGGTACGTTTACAGGCAGAAACTGTAGATTTCCAAAAACGAGGTACGTTGAGCCTGGCGGCCCTACGACGGGACATGGCTCATTCACTCACTGAGCATGAGCTTCCGACTCTTCTCCGACTTGTGGGAGACGGGGAGGAGATTCCCCAGGGTGTATCAGGGAAGCTCATGTACCAGAAAGCTCGCGAGCAGTTTTTCCCACCGGAATCGGTGGCTCTGCCTGAGGTGGAGGTTTGGGTGATGGCGTGAGCTGGTAGTCCTCACTTACTTGGATAGGCAATTTGGGTCAATTGTCAGATGCCACGAAGGATCTTGCGTTTTAGCAAGATTAATATTTTTAAAGCAGCCAAGCTCTATCAAAGTTCGCGGTATATTACAGATCTTTAGTGTTGCATATATCATGATATTCCCAATTAGACTAGGGCAGCCCTGAATCCCCACGTTGGCTTTTTTTTTGTTGAAATTGAGGGGTGATGATACCTGGCGAGTAGGTTTTTAAAGAAAATGGAGTACCCAGCGGAGCTCGATGAGCCGAATCAATAGCAAAAATTCCTTGTCAAAACAGTACGTAGCAGGAGAATACAAGCCAAGCAAAAGCAAAAGCAAAAGCAAAAGAAAGTCCAGGGGATAGTAGGGATCATTTTATACAGCCATAGGGACACATAAGCCGCATGGATGCTGAATTGCGTCTAGTAACTTGCAGGATCGCAGGAAGTGCATGATATGAGCATAATTACCAACTAGTAGATGTAGACAAATTATGAAGGAATCAGCGTCTTAAAGTTTCATTATCATTATAAGCCAAAACAACTTGAACCGAAGACATCATATACTAAGACCTGCATCAAATTGCCGCATCTGACCCCATGGATGAAAAACTTGTTTCCACCACGCTGACGAAGCAAGGGATTGCGGCTCGGTGTTTTATTGCTTGCAGGTCGCTTGCAGTAGCACGTTACTGTGTAGAGCTGGGGTCCTTTATTCCGATTCCGAATTTCAATTCTGTTGAGCTTCCCCTCACGACGTAAGGGGCGCAGGAGCTCACGTAGCTACTTACGTGTATCCCATGATCCAGCCAGCCACTCACTATTGCCAGTGGCAGTGGCAGTGGCAGGTGATTCAAAGACTTGACGTCTGTCCTGACTTCTGGGATGAGCTTCTTAAGGTATTTTCCTACCGGATAATGAAAATGAACACATATATAAGCCGTTCGGTTTAGGTATAGAAGAATAAGAAAAACGTGATATTTACAAATAAAGTAGGTTCTATATTACGCTGTCCAGCAGCCAAAACGGAGCAAACCCAAACACCGCGTTCTATGCAATACAAAAAAGGAGAGAGAGAAGGCAGCCTAGCCTAGCCTAGTCGCAGGCGACCAGGCACAGCACTACCGCCAAATAATCTCGTGATTCCACCTTCCTCAGTGGTGTTGTTATCGCCAGACATCCAGCGAGGAAGACGGGCGTTTTCAATCCACTGCGGTGTGTTGGCGGTTTCAATAGTGTTTCGCACGCGGTGAGCGAAGGATTGAAAGAAGTTCTCTTCTTCCTCTTCCTCGTCGACGACTTGAGGAGCAGTCATGGGCCGTTGCGATTGGGCAGGTCGGGGAGATCGAGAGCCCTCCGCCGCGGGAACGCGTAGTCGGGACGAGCCATTTGCGCCATCATCACTGCGGTCCGATGCCCAGGTCGATCGGGCGCCACGGGAGGACACGGCCAAAGAGCCGAAGCCGTTCATCTCGCGTTCGATTAGGTCACGGCCTTCGCGCCAGCCGCCCATCCCAAAGCCGGAGGGGTTGCTCTCCACGTCATCCTCATCGTCAGAAAGACCGAAACCGAAGACATTTTTGATGCGGCCGTAGAGGTTGAACAGGGTGGCGCAGACGGGGATAAGGATAAAGATAGGGAAGATGAAATCGAATCCCTTGCCCAAGGGGGTGAGGTTGATGAGCTGTCCGAGGAACTCGTAGAAGGTGGTGGTCCGGCGGAAGTCCTTTGGCAAGAAGGTCAAGAAATTGTATGCGATCGGCACGGTTAGTCGTGCCACCAAGCTGGCGTACCAACAGGCACTCTCGCCGTAGGTGTTGCGACGTACGAGGGCACGGTTGCCCCAAACTTTCGCATCGCTCACACCAACCAGGGCGGCGGAACACATATAGAGTAGCCAGGCAGAGGCTATGACTTGGCTCCAAAATCCAACTGGTTTCTCATCCTTCCAATGCGGAACCACTGTCAATGTGATGGCCGATACGGATGGGGCCAAAGACTTGATCAACTCAGACCAGACGATGCAGCCCGACACCACTGCAAAGAAAGCCCCAAAGGCGAGTCTTAGAGTGGGTATGACATTGGTGTAGAGATGATAGCGCATATAGGGGGTCAAGAATTTCACCCGCGGGAGGCAAGATGACCGACGCGGGGCAGCACCAAAATCGAGCTTCTGTGACGCGGCAGAGTTGATGATGGCCTGGAGATCTGTGGCCGACTGAACCACACGATCCCACTCGTCCACAAAGCGAGCCTTCATGTGTCGGGCGCGCTGCAGGCGTCTCGTCATATCAGCCAGGTAGCGTTCCGTGATAACCGAAGGCACGGTGCCGGAGGTTTCGGCGGACTCGAGAATAGGAGCGCGGACGTCGGAATCCCCGGGGGTCTCGGAGAGGTCTTCAATCCATTCTTGGAAGTCACGAGCAGTTCCGGTCTTGCGCTTCTGCAGCTGGGCGACCTGGGAATTGAGGCTCTCCAGTTCGTTGACTGCGTCCATCAAACGATCGTGTACTTTCGGGGCGTGTGATTGAATACGTCGCAAGCGGCCACTGACATTGGCATTGCGGAAGAGATTCCGTGGGATGGCAACCAAGCCGTGACCCATCAGGTAGATGGCAAGAACGAGACCCCAGACGTAGGCGGCAGCCATGATGAAACCCTTGATGGAGCGGAAATCAAAGCCAATGGAGATGATGACATAGATCAATCCGATCGTTGCGCAGCCCAGAACGGTCAATTGGTAGCGGGCGTTGGAGCGGAGGGAGTACATGATGCGGGCTTTGGGTTCACGGTATCCGGAGTCGACATATTCGGCGAGAAGAGGAAGGATAGCCCTGGAGATACCGATGTTAGTCAAGCCCAATGGTTATCAAGATGGTTGTCAGTGGAATACCTACCAAGTGAGCACAAAGATCAGCCAGTAGGCAATGCGCCAACAAACGAGAACCACGCGGTCCGGCAACCAGATTGCCTTGGCACCGCTGCCATCGCGGGAACTTGAGGCCAGGTCGATGGGGACGAGGAGGATGACGCTGGCTGGGAGGGCGAGGGCGAAGAATATTGGGAAGATCAAGTAGGCGGGAGTGGCGCGAAGAGTGAGGAAACGGCGCAAGATGAAGAGGACCAGGAGGGAGATGAGACAGAGAGCGATAGCGAAGAAGATGTTGGAGCCGACCGAGACGGTCGGCAAGGAGACGGAGATCATGGCGGAGGGGAGACGATCTAAATCAAAGAAAAAAGGAGAGTGTTCAAGCGCTTTTCATGGCGTTGGGAGGAGGAGGGTCGGTAAGAGAAAGGATGACGAGGCCGATCGAATATAGAAACAGTTGACGTTCCCAGGGGAGTGGTGGCTGACTTAAGCTTGTGGGGGTAGAAGGTACCTGTGAACACTAGTTATTTATATGTGAGTGGAAGTACCTGATACTTTGTAATGAGCCGGGGCCAATAGGCGCGGCCGGATCAGGCCAGGGCCGTCGATCGATGGGGCGATCAGTCAGAGTAAAAGAGATGAGCTAGTTAATATGAGTATGAGTATACGAGTACTAGGAACTTGAATATTAGGAGAATTGCTTAAAGTCAATGTTAATGTAGATTTGAAAGTAAGTAGAGTATCCTAGTACTAATACTACTTAGTACTTTATACCAGGGCCTACTAGTTATACATCCCCATCTACATTGTTGTCGCGTGAAACAGATCCACAATTATGACGACGCCTGGGGCAATTATACATATTATGGGTGACAGTAGTAGTTACGAGTCAGAGATACTACTAGTCTGTACTATATTGTAGGATATGTATATATTCAGTACTTAAGTATACACTGTAGATACTGCAAAGTATACTATACTGTGTAGTATATATGGTCCCCTCAAGTGGATATCCCGTGATCACCGCATTGAGTACCTGACGGCAGCCTTGTGACCTTCGCATTCACCATTCTTCAATTGATTCCGCTCGTGCTCTGTACCTTTTGCCCTCTCCATTGGCTTCTCTCCTCGTGTTGCCATCGCTCTGCCATTATCCTCTTTTTCTTCTTCTTTTCCATCTTCCTTTTCTACTTCCATCCCAACCACCCCTCCCCCCCCCTCCTCCCTCCACTCCACTTTGCCTCTCACCCCTCCTCCACACACGAGCACTGAGAAGAGTCCTGTGCACCTTGAAACACTATCCCTGTTCGGTGTGTGCCATCGTACCCTCTTCATTTCCCCTGGACTGGAATCGAAGTTCTGGTAAGCCTTTTCCCACATTTTGCTGGTCAATTCCGAGTCGTCTCGGTCCTCCTGGATTCTAAGCCAACCTTGGAACTGTCCCTCTTGCTCAGTTGCTCACGACATCCACCAGAGAACCTCCGGTGCGACTTGACAAGCTGCAGCATCCCTGTCACGGATCCCATCCACCCCTACAATTGCGCCCGTCGTCCTCATTCGCTCCAAGCCACACCCAGGCTTTCGTTAGCGAATTGCATCCAATCGACGCTGGTGCCCGAACGCCTTGCTTTCCCACCGTGCTGGTCGCTCGCCTGCCTCTTGCTCGCTCCCGCCCTCCGTTTGGGCCATTTTGAATTCATCCCCACCCTCCCTGATCGACTCGACTCACCACCGGTTCCACACCAGCACCGGCGTCCTTTTTTTTCCCGCCGATCTGCGACCTTGAAGGATTCCGACCCTGCATCTGTTCGCAACGCGCCGTTGTAAATCCTTCTTTTTTCGATTCTCTTTCCCTTTCTTACCATCTCTACTCTTTCCCACCCCCCTCCCTCTCCCCTCCTCCGATTTCCCCGACCTTCGCAACGTGGCGACCCGGCGAATGCTGACCGCAACGATTTCTCTTCGCGGTCTGCTCCTCCCCCATTGATGGGGCCTCGATCATGAATCCCGCCCAGTTTCCCAACCCTGGCGGGGGCATGCCCGGGGTCGTCAAACCGAATATGCCGCCGCAACAAAACAAGGAGGGCGCCCAACTCATCATGGGCCATGTTGCTCAGATCCTCGCGAACCAGGGCCCGTTTGGTGGATGGAAGGCCGATGTGCCCATCAAGACTCGAGCCATGAATGTTTACCAGATGTACGTTGTCATCCCCCCCCACGAACCATGGAAACTCCGAGGCACTACCTGCACCTTTATCCTTTGTTTCCTCGTCCTCGCTGACCTTCTTTTTTTCCCCTTTGGTCTCAGGATCACCTCACTTCGTCTGATTCAACCCCGAATCGATCTAAATCAGGCAGCCCACGCGGCTGTCAGTTTCGAACAGAAAGCCTTTCAGAAGGCGACCGAGAAGGTTCGTCTTTCATCGCATCCCTCCCAACCACATTCACCAACTCTTCTCGTCTCATCTCCCTCATCTCCCCTTCCCTCATCCCATTTCCATTCATCACCGTCGCCTCTTTCTTCTCTTTGGGATACGTCGGAACACCCCTCACTAACTTCCATCCTTTCTGTTTACAGAGTGATTACGAAAAAGAATGTAACGAGAAGCTCCTACACATCAAAGACACCCGACAGAGACAAGCCGCGGTCGCTATTCAAGGTGGTATGATGGCGGGCGGTATGCAGAACCAAATGCAAGGTGGATTCCCTCCTCAGATGGGTCGAGGCATGCAGACTTCTCCCGTCCCTGGTCAGCCTCAAATGGCGATGGGCATGGGAATGAACGACCCAAACCAACAAGTCTTAATGCAACAACGCCAGCAGCAGCAGTCTGCGATGCTCCAGCAACAACAAGCTCAACGGGCGCAGCAGCGTCCCGGCAACGCCCCCTCCCGGACGACCTCAACAACCTCTCTGCACAAGAACTTGAACACGTTTCTCGACTCGCCAATCAAATGCTCTCAAAGACATCCCCCGAGGACATGGAGAAGATCAAGCTCAACTTGTCGAATATGAACCCAGATCAACGTCAATATCTAGCACGAAAAAACATGGATCCGATGACATACTTTTTCCGTTCTCAGGCGCTTACCCAACTTCGACGCCACAAGCGTGCGAAGGAGCTGGGCCGCGCGCCGAACGCCGGCATGGATCCGAACAGTGCTATGATGGGGGATCCTGCGATGATGAATCAACAACAACGACAGATGTTCCAAAACATGATGAACCTCCAGCGAAACAATGGGTTCTCGGGGAGCCCCAACCAAGGGCTCGATCCCAACAACGCCTTTATTGGCAATGTGGAAAACATACAGGGCCAACAGGCCGATGGTCTGCGTTCACAAGAGGCTGGTCAACTTGTGGTGCCCGCCAGCTCATCGCAGATGAATCAGGCGGCGTTCCCCAATAATCAGAACATGTTCTCGCAGCAGCAACAGCAGCAGCAGCAGCAGCAGCAGCAAATGGGACAAAATGGCCAGGCGAACATGAATGGGGCGGGCGTCGATCCCCAGATGTTCAACCCACAGCACATGCAACAAACGGCCTCGAATGGACCCCAAGGACGGATGCAATTCCCAAATCAACAGGCCCAGGCTCAGGCCCAGGCCCAGGCCCAGGCCCAAGCTCGAGCTCAAGCCGCGCAGAAGGCTCAGATGGCGATGTCTGGCCAAAATGCTCAGGCGCAGTCTCACCTTGGCCAAGGGAGCCCGGGCATGAACATGCTGAACCAACCGATGGCCCCTGGTCAAATGTCCCCAGTTCAAATGCCTGCCCAGTCCCGGCCGGCGTCGCGACCTCCCAACATGGGCCAGCATCCCGGTGGTGTTCAGGGTGGCGGTCCTCAGCCTGCGATGCAGGGTCGACCACAGATCCCTGCCAATCTTCCACAGGCGGTACAGGAACAACTGAACGCGATGTCTAACGAGCAACTCCACGCCTTTCTGTTGAACCAGCGTCGCGCAGCTCTGGCAAACAACATGCAACGAGCAAACAACCCCGGTCAACAACCTGGTAATCTTCAGCAAAAAGTGACACAACCCGGTCAGGTCCCGGGGATGTTCAACGGTCAGATGGGGAATAATCCTCGCATGAGAAACTCGATTAGCATGCAGCAGGGAATGAACGCCGGGGGTCCACAGCAAATTCCAGGCGGCCAGCAGTTGACACCCCAACAGCAGCAACACATGCAACGAGCTCAACAGAATGAGATGACCCGACTTCAGATGCTCCGACAACAGAACAATGGCATGGAGATGACCCCAGAGCAAACTACACAAATGGATCAGGCGACTTTCCCGCAGTCCCTTCTCACCAACAATTCGCAAGTTCCGAAGAACATCAAAACCTGGGGCCAGCTAAAGCAATGGGTTTCTTCAAACTCACAAGCCTCGACTGGAATTGACCCAAACAAGCTTTTGACACTTCAGAAGCTCCACTTTGCCCAGATTCTCAGTGTCCAAGCAAAGGACCCTAACAGACAAAACCAAGGCCAGGGAATCATGAAAAATCCATTCCAACAAGCATCCCAGGGTCAAGTGCAGAATGCACAGAACCTTCAACCCGGACAACCTGGGCAGCCAGGCAACATGCCGCCCATGCGGCCTATCACCGCCCAGGATATCCACTTGGCTCGCCAAAAGCTGGGACCTCAGTCGCAGTCGTATACCGATGATCAAATCCGGGATATCCTCCGAAACCGACAGAGACAAATCCTAATTCAGACCGCGCATCAGCGAGCCCAGGCTCAACAGTTGAGCGCAAACGCAAATATGGCATCTGGGCAGAATCAACCGATTGCCCAGCCCCAGATTCCTCAACCCCAGAACAACCAACAGGTCAAACAACCTCCCATGTCCCAACCGCAGGTATCTACGGCCGAAACGCCAGCGGCGACTGCGAAGCCTCCGACTGGAGCTGCTGCTGGAAAGGGTGGGAAGGGAGCTGCTGCTAAGCAGAACTCGAAGAAACGCCCAAGCACCGATGATAGTGGAGCTGCTGCAGCTGCTGCTGCGGCGGCCGCAACAGCCGCTGCTCAACAAGCACAGCCCGCTGCTCCTCCTGCTAACGCCCAAAGGCCAAGTGCCCCGTTCTCACAAGAACAGTTCGCTGCTATGAGTCCTCAGCAGCGATTGCAAGTTGAGGCCCATATGAGGCGCCAGCAACAGAGTCAGCTCCGTGGGCCAATACTCAACAGGGCTGCAGCAGAGGAAGCTTGGAACAACCACCTCCCCCCCCAAGATCATGGAGGCTTACAACGAAATTTCCAAGAATGCTCCGACTGTAAAGCCTGTCTCTGTTTCTCCAGACCAAAAGGCTATTATGACCCAGCAACTTCAGGACTCGTTGGACGTATTGGGCCGCCTGGATGTCTTGGTTCTGCATGGCTTCGGTAAGATGCAGGGTCAAGAGAGAAATGTTAAGAACCTTCTCGCCATGCGCATCCAGTTGATGCGCCAGTTCAAGCCGTCACAGGAGTGGATCGTCAACGACCAGTTTACTATAACCCCTGATTACTTGACTGGTGCCATCCTCTTCATTCGCAAGCTTTTCCAGGTCATGATTGTTCGTATGAACCAAGCTCGACCTAACGGCAACCAAGCTGGTGCTGCGGTCGCCGCCGGGAACCAGGTCAATCCAGGCAGCACACCCCAACTGAATGCATCCAACCTTCAGCAGTTGCAGGCGCAGCAAGAAGAAGCCAGTCGTACTCGTCGTCCCTCCGAACAATCTGCGACACACCCTGCCGCTCCATTCGGAGCACCATCACCTTCCGGGGTTCCTCATGCCTATGGACCTGGGGGTCTTGTGCCCGAGAAGCTCAAGCTACCCCCTCCCAAAAAGCGCAAGCAGTCTCATGCCGGTCCCACTGCTTCGCCTGTTCAGGCCGCTACCACTGCGCCGGCCGCATCTGCCAAGTACAAGCAGGCTGTGGCTGATGCCAAGACGACAGCTGCCGCTCTCGCTGGTGCTTTCAAATGCAGTGTGGTTGAGTGTCAGCACCATTTCCAAGGCTTCCCCAGCCAAGCCGCCCTTGATAGCCATGTTGAGAAGGACCATCAACCAGAAGAAGAAGAGAACATCGAAGACCCTCTTCAATTCTATCTCGAAAGCATTTCAATGGGTCTGGGCTTGGACGCGAGTGGTCAACCGATCAAGCCGAACCACACTACGGGCCTTCCTCCAACCATGACCCCCGTCAACAAACCAAGTGTTGCATCGCCAGTCAAGCATGGTCTTGCTACTCCCGTTACTGCTAGCACTACGCCTATGGCTCGCGCCACCAGCCAACTCGGGGCTAAGGGTGCATCACCAGCAACCCCAGCTCAACAGCTCACACCCCATCAACCTGCCAAGACCATCAAGCCTTCTCCTGGAAAAGAAGTTCAAAAGCACGCTCTCCAAGACGGCGAGGCCAAGGATCCTTGGTCAGAATGTCCAATGTCTTTGGGTACTGTCCATGACTCATTCACTCCTGTTTTCTCGGAATGCAGACGCCGTGGTCTTGGTTATGACCCCTTCGACGAATTCATGAACACAGACATGTTCACTCAGGATCAAACCGAGGATACCCCCGACTCATGGGATATTGCTTTGGCAACTCTGACTCCTAAGGATGAGGCATCTAAGGGAGACGTCAAAGACGGTGTTGTCTGGAGCGACTGGGTGCCTTGGGATGAAGATACCACCCTGGCCACTGCTGACTGGATGAACATTCCTCCCGAAATCATGCTCAAGGATGGCCCTGATGTGATTCCCGGTGTGCAGGTCGACTGGGAAAGTCTCGAGCGTCAACAGAAGGACGGAAATAGCTTCGCTCCCCTTCCAATTGCCCCTACCGCATGAGGATGACGAAATGTTGCTCATAATGGAAATGCGTCTCCTTTTTCTCGGGCTGGTGATGTGAAGATCGACGGATGTCATGATAACCTATTCTTTTATTTTCTCTTATCATTTTCGGCGGCTCCTCTGGCGTACATATGGGGGATTTTTCTCTTCCCTTCTTCTCATTTTCATTCTTTATCACCCGTCAACTTTCCTTCTTTTCACCTTTTCACTTTTTTTATTCAAGGGGAAGGGCGAAGCGTGTGTACCATACCCAGCGCGGGACTCTCCCGTTTTTTTTTCCCCTGTCCCGTTTCCTCGTTTCCAGCGACAGCCCCATTCGGATTTCTCTTTACTTGTTTTCTTTTTCAATCTCTTTGTGATTCCCATCCAGCTGGTCCAGCGATGGCGTTTGTGTGGGGAAAAGATGGGACTTCAATTTTATCTGTGAACCGTCGATTAGGTTATGGATCCATTTCTCAATGTGCAAATGGCATAATACCTGTTAATACAATAGGTTTCATATGACATTCTCTCTATTTTCTCTTTGTAGACTCATAGTATGTACTAGACTAGCTAAATTTACCCTATACTATGCAATTTTTCCTCGACCAGAGTATGCTGCCGGACCGATGACGGCCATTGGTATCACTTTCTTTCGACAAATATTTTATCGAGTAATTTAGACTCAATCAAGCTTTAATCGGTCTGGGCAAAGTAATTGGTCTTAACGAAATCAGAGTCTACGGGTCCATAGGGCCCACGCATGATGCAAATTCTAGTAGTGACGTAAGTTTCCAAGATTGCAATCCAGCTTTGACACCTGTCGAGTTCCACATAAATTTGACAGAACCAGAGCCTGGAAAGCAGAAGAGAAAAGAAGCATTTCACTTTTTCTCTTCTTTTCATTTTCCTGGGGGACTTTCAGGCATATTTCAACTCTGTGATGAGTTCCTCGAAGGATCGTGGCCAAGACGGCACGGATGGCGGTAGGCTCCAACCCTAAATAACTTAAATATATTAGCCGCTAAAATCAGCCTCAACACCCTGAAGTTTCAAGTGATGATTTTCCAGAACACGAAGCACCCGGTGGTACCCAAGAGGCCGGAAGCAAGGACGAAGGCGCTGGAAATAACCCGATTTTCAGCTTAGCCGGTCCTGGAGCGAATAACCCGGCAAGCAATGCATACATTGGCGACCAATATATGGCATACAATCCGCAATATGGAAAGCAGGATGAGAATCCTACGTGGAGCTTGGCTCAGCCGCTTCCTCATATCGTTCGACCAGGTATGCAGCACGGTGCACTGCCGGAAGATCAGAAAGAGGATGCAGAGAGTCTGAAAAATGGACATGGGGCTGCTGGTCATCAAGCGCAGGATAAATCTGAATATGGATTCTTCAATAGCTGGAGTCGAATCCGCCATTATCTCCGGGAACCATTGGCCGAGTGGCTTGGGGTATGTACAGACACACGCACAACTACCTGCGATGTACGAGTTGACATGATTGATCTAACAATTCCCCACAACAGACAACCGTAGCAATGACAATCGGACTATGCGCGACATTATCAAACTTCACCTCATCCGGCCAAGCAGGAAGCTACACCTCGCAAAGCATTGCCTGGGGCTTCGGATTCATGGCAGCCATCTACATGACCGGTGGTATATCAGGAGGCCACCTAAACCCCGCCTTCTCAATCGCCATGTCTATATTCCGAGGCTTCCCCGCCAGGAAATGCATCCAATACATAGCCGCGCAACTCCTTGGAGCCATCACGGCCGGCGGAATTGCCTACGCCATCTACCACGACGCGATCCTCGAAGTCGTCGCAACGTCAATGCTACCACAGAATGCCAGCGTCGCCGCCACGGCCATGATCACCGCGCCGAAATCTTTCGTGCATCCTGCTACGGCGTTTTTCACGGAGTTTCTTGGCAGTGCGATCTTGTTCGGCGCTATTGTTGCCCTTGGTGATGATACCAATGCGCCCCCTGGTGCGGGTATGCAGGCGTTTATTTTGGGTATTCTTATTTCTGTCGTTGTTCTTGCTTTGGGATATAATACTGGCGGGTGAGTTCAGATCCAGTGCATACCTTTTCACTTCAATTGTTGTCGTGGGCTAACTTGGGGAATCTTGCATAGCTGCTTCAATTGCGCAAGAGACTTCGGTCCGCGACTTGTTGCCCTCATGGCTGGATGGGGCGGGCAGCTGTTTCGAGAATATCATGCATGGTGGGTGTGGGGACCGTGGTGTGCTGATATTAGCGGTGCGCTGTTTGGCGCCTTCATCTACGATTTGGCGATCTTCACTGGTGGTGAAAGTCCTATCAATTATCCTCCCCGTCGACGGAAGAGGGCTTGGCGCGTGCGGAAGCTTAATTTGAGGAAGAAACTTGGTCTCGGGCCTAGGAAGAAGACTAAGGATCTTGAGAATTCTGTTTCTGAGACTAATAGCTGAGTTGCGGACTGTTCTGGCTTGGGGTGGATGTTTGTTGAGTGAAGCACAAGCTTTGCTTTGTACGAGTACTCTATTTGGCTTATAAGTCATGGTGTTGTAAAATTTAACTAAAATAGATCAGAGTGTATTTCGCACGTCGAGTTTCCGAAAATAAAATCATTTGGTTGTTTACAGCTTCACCTCGATGTCAGAAATGCTCTTATAAACCCTAGTAATCACATGATATGAGAAACATGCATTATAACTATTTGAAATCAGATCCACATTGCTCTTCAACATCACTGGCAGTTCAGGGCACATTGGATAAAAATATATTTAGAGAATAAAAACATCTAAGATTTTCCACCGATCTTAGGATACTTTTGGCACACACTGGCATTCGCACGTGATGGGTCTAAATCTCGTATTCCGTTAAGAAAGGGCCACTGGCCACTTGGACTCAACTTTCCTTATTTTCGCTCTCACTGAAAACGATACTCAATATGGGCCGCTGGTGGGGACTCCCGCTTCCCCGGAGATTGTTTTGGAACTACTTGAGTATTTGGAACCCTCAGATGTCGTGGCTCTCGCGCAAGCTGCGGAGGGGTTCGCCCAGCTCGGTTTCCCAACGTATTCGTCTGGTCTCCGCGAACATGAACAAACGATATTGTCCTCTGCAGTTATATGTGGGCATATCAGCATTGTCCAGCATTATCTGGAAGGAGGAGCCGATGTCTGCGCCGCTGATGACCAAGGAAACATGCCATTGCACTTTGCCGCTGCTTTCGGTCACTCCAACGTGGCGTCGTTACTCATTGACGCTGGAGCCGATCTCAATGCACGTCAAAACGATGGACTAATTCCACTGGATTATGCCACTATATCGGGGTATGATCGCGTTGTGGAGATTCTTTTGGATAAAGGAGCCACCACTACGGATTTTAGGATCGGCGAGGCTCAAAGAACGGCTCTACATGCCGCTGCTCTTAAGGGATATAGCCAGATTGCAGAGATGTTACTAAGCCGCGGAGCTCCTATTGATGTCAAGGATGGCTATGGTTATACGCCTCTTCATTCGGCTGTTTCGGAAGGGCATCTTGAGATAGTTCGGGTGTTGCTTCGTGCTGGAGCAGCCGTCATCATTCAAGATAAGATAGGAGACTCACCACTGCATCACGCCGCCGGCAACGGATATACTGCTATCGTACAGGAGCTTCTGAATAAAGGAGCAGACCCTTCGATGAAAGGTCACGAAAATGCTACACCATTGCACCAGGCATCATTACTGGGTTTCGTTGACGTTGTCCAGCTTCTCCTAGAATCTGGAGCGAATATGTCTGCTCAGGGTTTAGATGGGGAAACCCCTCTTCTTCAAGCCAGTGGAGCCGGTCATGTCTCAATCGTGCGGCTGCTACTAGCTGCCGGAAGCTGTCCGTCAATTCCAGATGAGAATGGGTCCACGCCACTACACTTCGCTGTTCTTTCAGAGAAAGCAGAAATCGCCGATATGCTAATAAAAGCTGGAGCACATGTCGATAGCATAAACGATAAGAAACATACCCCCTTACACTGGGCAGCAAAAGACCATGAAGAAATGGTTCCTACTTTGCTGAAGCATAAGGCCGACACACATGCTCTCAGCCATACAGGGCGGACTCCGCTACATTGGGCAGCTAATGAGGGCCATGTTGGTACCACGACAGCTTTATTGGAAGCCGGAGCTCTTTACCAGATTCGAAATCAATATGGGGAATCAGCGCTGCATTTGGCCGCTCAAAAAGGTCATAAAGATGTCGTTCGATTGCTTATCCAACGAGGCAGCAATCCACATCTCACCGATAATAAATCTCGCACAGCTCTGCATTATGCAGCTGAGGAAGGACATGTGGATACGGTAAAAATACTGCTGAGCAATAAAGTCAGATCAGATATCAGAGATATCGATGGTCGGACTCCATTATACTATGCAGTATTCCATGGGAATGTGACGATCATAAAGATGCTTCTTGATCTCAGTACCACCCTTGATGAGACCGTCAAGAAAGCCTTTCTAGAGGCCGCAGAATATGGGCACGAAATGGCGGTTCAACTTCTCATCGAACATGGTATTGACCTGTCCTTCAGAGATTCAAACGGAAATACAGCACTGCATCGAGCCGTTCTGGGGAGTCAAATTGAAGTCCTTGAACTTCTTCTCAGTACAGATGTTGATAGGTCCGCCCGGGACAACGAGGGGAAAACGGTATTGCATCTTGCTGCCCGGGAAGGTGAGGATGCAATTGCCAAGGTTCTTTTGGGCATCAGTGAGATAGGGAATCTTCAGGATTATGAAGGCTGGACGGCTCTGCATTGGGCGGTTGAGAACGAACAGGACAGCACGGTCCAGATTCTGTTAGACGCTGGTGTTGATCCCGAAATTAACTCCTTCAACGGATGCACCCCCCTTGATTTAGCAGATGCTGGGGCTTTAGAAACAATGGAGCAGGTGCTACGAGGGGCATTAACAGCGAGAGATAGACCCACCGTCAGCGACGCGTCTCCATGAGAATATCAGTGCATTCTATCGAGTCGAGAACCGGGGGATTATCACCAAAAGCGCCATAAATACAAATTAGAGATCAAAACATTTTGCTACGGTCACCACATAGTATTAGTCACAGCTTTCTCATGCCTAACAGACACATATCCTTGCATATATGAGAGATAAAAGCTCGGAAGAACGCCCACTACAGTTTACCAGCTTGCACATTTGTAAGCATGAAGTAGGGAGCTTTTTCCTACTGCATATTATGTATATGATCATCTTACGCTGTCAAGGACTCGATAAATTGTCGGATTACGCATGATTCTTCCTGTACTGATCATGAGTAACACAATACATCGACTTGTACAGTGGCGTTGCAAAAGTTTGAACATTCTACCGTTCAAAATCAGAACGTGGCTTAATTACGAAAGTAATCATTTCTGGAATAGCGTATTAGTCAATCGGGGTTTGAAAGAGCGTTTCTGTGTCTCCAATCATGGAAGGCGATCCTGGGCGGGTCTATACTTGGAGATCCGGCGTGTATGTTGCCTTTTCTGTTCGATCTTCGCCGAAAATGTACCAAAGAGGAGATTCTCGCCGATGACTGAACAGAACGGGCATTTCGATATGCACCACCACATTACATGACATCCTCTCTAGATCACTATTAATTACCCCGCATGCTCTCGATGCCTATATCAAAGGCTGAATTTCCAAGCAATTCTTTCTCCAAGATGAAAGTAAGAAGACCTTGTTCCATACCATTATCCTCCACATAATGTACGCCACCACAGTCGGCTTACTTGTCGCCATGTACTTCCTGGTTATACCAATCGCGAAGTACTTCTACGACCCAAAAGGTCTACGCAAGTATCCGAATTTTTATGCCTTATCTGGAATATCTGACCTTCCTTTTCTCTACGAAGCTCAACGGGGATTTCGCTCCCGTAACCTCTTCGAAGCCCACAAGAAACACCCAGTCCTTCGCATCGGGCCAAACGCGCTTTCCTACTCGGATCCAAATGCGATAAAAGATATCTATGGACACGGCACAAGCTGTGTCAAAGATCGCTTCTATTCCGAAACCGGGGGCACTCATGCACATCTTGCAGATGTCGTTGACAAGAAGGAACATGCTCGCAAGAGAAAGGTTTTATCGAGCGCCTATGCGGTGAAGAACCTGGAAGAATGGGAGTTCAATGTCGCAAACGTTGCTGGTAAGGTGATTAAAGCCTTTGATAAGCGCTGCACGGCTCCTCTGCTACCCAACACGATACCACCAAAGGGGGATTTGACAGTCGACTATCGCAACTGGACGGTCCTGTTCGCCGCGGCTGCGATCGCGAATATCGGGCTTAGTGAGGATCTCGGGTTCTTGGATGAGGGATTAGATGTTATCAAGTCTGAAAGCAAAGATGGGGCCGTGAAAGAGGCTTCCTTCCGCGAATGCCATGGTGCTACGGGTACAGTGTCTTACCAGCTTGTCTGGGCATATGACTGGTTCAAGATATTCAAGCGCATGAGCAAAATCTTCTCATCTGGGTATCGAAAAATGTGGAAGTTGGACGGGGACTGGGGCGGTATTGTCTATAATCGCGCAACAACTCGATTGAACCGGTATATAGCAGGCGAGAAACTGGATGATTTCTTCGCTGCGATGATGGAAGATAAGAATGGAGACCCTCATAATCTCGAATGGGGCGAGATCGTGGCGGAGATCAACATTATGATGAATGCGGGCCACGATACCACGGCCATCTCCTTGCGGAATGTCATGTTCTTCTCACTCAAGAGCCCAAAATGCCTTGCAAAGCTGCGAGAGGAGCTCGATGGGGTTCTCGACGAAGATGAAGTCGTTGCATCGTACTCGAAGGTGAAGAATCTTCCCTACCTGCGGGCCTGTATCGATGAGAGCCTTCGAATGCTTCCGCCGGTGATATTTGGATTACCCCGTCGAACCCCGGTGGAAGGAACGGCTATTCTGGATAATTATGTGGCTGGAGATACTTCGGTGAGCATGTCAGCCTATGTTGTACATCACCAAGTGTCAGTCTTCGAGGATCACGATACATATAAGCCGGAGCGATGGTTGGGAGAAGAGGGCAAGCCGTTGCAGCCATACTTTATCCCATTCAGTACTGGCGCAAGAGGATGCATCGGTCGCAATATCAGTTACTTGGAGCAGACAGTTTTGGTTGCCTCTTTGATCCATCGCTTTGAGTTTGCCTTGACGTCGCCTGATTGGAATCCACCTGTAAAGGAGACGACCAATTTGAGCCCCGGGCCGATGCCAATCAAGGTATGGAGAAGGATAATTGGGGAGAACTAGATTTTTTTTTTGATTGGATTAGCGTGGGTATATAGATTGATACAAAAGGTTTTCTTTTGCAAGATGCAACGAACATAGGAATATAGTGATATAGTATCCCAGAAATCGAGAGGTAGATTATCGCATCCAAACCAAATATCAGCTGAGACCTGTATGATCTCCGGGATTCCACTTGTTCTACTTTGTAGTCACCAGGATACCCTCGGTATTCTATTGAAGAGGAAATATGATGAGGTCAAATCTCGTTAAGAACAATAAACCAGTCTCTCTGGTCACGTAGCCCAAGAATGGCCTAGTGATATTGGCCCAGAGAGCCGGACAGGGAAAAGAGTAACGAGGCTACACTGATATCGCCCGTGGCTGCCTCGTTACACTTTTTGTCTTTGTTCCAGCGAAGGGTCAAAACTAGGCCAGGGCATTCATTTGGCTGGTTTCCCTTTTGTCTCGTTTGTTGCTGTTGACCTCGTGCCTTCCAAGCAAACTCTAGTTGATGCTGATTGGCTTCTTGGCTACTTCGGGTGGTCATCACGTCAGCTGGCTTATCTCTTGGTCCAACCTTAGCCCGATAAGCTTCTCCGCTTTGTTTCAACCTCGCCTCCTCATCTCCCCTCGTTCCTCATAGAAAGGACACCATGGCGAGCCAGGCTCTTATTCCCTTCCTGGTCACGATGATGCTCGTGACCGGGGTATGCAACACCATTCTTAACAAATATCAGGTGCGTTTGGGGACCTTGAGGACCTCCACGTTTGGAGGAAGTTGACCGGGCTCGCCAGCTAACCAGATTGATTGTAGGACATGCAATGTGTCCGCGACTGTGACACCAATGATCCCAAACTGTTTGAACAGCCGGTTCTTCAGACGTGAGTTCAGCCAGCTCGTCAGACCTATTCGGCTACCCTGTAACACGGTCACACGACTCGAAGTTTAACGGCTGACGATTGTTTTTTCAAACAGCGCGCAGATGTTCATCGGTGAGATGGGCTGCTGGCTAGTCATCGGCCTTTCCATTCTTTACAAGAAATACATTTCTCCCCGTCTGTCCGGAGACCAGTCCCCTCTTCTCGCGGGTGGATATCGACCCGTCCGCGGCGAGGACGGCAGCCTCGAAGATGACGACGAAGACCGTACGCTCGACGGCCCTGCTGATCAAGGACACATCAAGCCGGTGGACGAAGATGAAGACCGGATCCCACTCCGCGGGTGGAGAATCCTTCTCCTCGCTGCGCCGTCCACCTGTGACATTACTGGCACAACTCTCATGAACGTAGGCTTGCTCTTTGTTGCTGCAAGCATCTACCAAATGACCCGAGGAGCGTTAGTCCTCTTCGTCGGTCTATTCAGCGTTCTATTCCTCCGTCGCAAGCTCTATCTGTACCAGTGGAGCGCTCTCTTCATCGTTGTTCTCGGTGTGGCCCTGGTCGGTCTCGCCGGTGCACTGTTCAGCGGTGACAGTGGTCATGATATTACCCAAGACGATGGCATCTCTTCCCAAACTGCTGGTACGCCCCAGGCAGTGCAGACTGTGATTGGTGTTCTTCTTATCGCGGCTGCTCAGATTTTCACGGCTTCGCAGTTCGTGTTGGAAGAGTGGATACTCGAGAACTATGCCATGGACCCTATTGAGGTCGTGGGCTGGGAAGGCATTTTCGGCTTCTCTGTTACCTTCATTGGTATGCTTATCATGTATGGTGCAGTTGGAAGGACGGATGTCGGTCAATACGGCTACTTCGACATGAAGGAAGGTATGTACGAGATGGTCAGCAACCGGGCTGTGGCCATCTCCAGTATCATGATCATGATCAGTATTGGGTGAGTTTCATTCCATCTCAACTTTCTTTGTTCCACCCCAGTGACCATTTACTAATTTTTCAAACAGCGGCTTCAACTTCTTCGGTCTCTCGGTCACCCGTACCGTTTCTGCCACCTCCCGTAGCACAATCGACACTTGCCGTACGCTGTTCATCTGGCTTGTCTCTTTAGGCCTAGGTTGGGAATCTTTCAAGTGGCTCCAGGTCGCCGGATTCGGTTTGCTCGTTTACGGCACCTTCCTCTTCAACGACATCATCCAGCCCCCTCTCAAGGCCTGTCTTCCAAGCCACAGACGGGATGGCGAGGTCTTGCTTCCTGAGGATCCGATCGAGCACCACTAATTTGATCACATTCAAGACTTTTCGCCCACAATGGTATTTCTACGCATCACTAGCTGATCCGGAATTTTCTTTGAGCTAGCTCTAAGCTTTTCTTTGCCTTCTGATACGACATTGCATTCTGTTATTGCGTTGGACTTTGGAGTTCGATCACGTTTTCCCTTTTTCTGCTCGTTTATATACACCCGATTTCTGCATGAGGTCTGCTGTTTTGTTTTGGTATAGAGCCGTAATCTGCGTCGGCTGTCTTTTGACTTTTTCGGTTTTCTTTTTGGTCTCTTTTGATTTATCCTAGGTCTCTTGGCAGTCTAGATATCTACAATGAGCAAATACAGAATTGAGAGTTTCTCATTACTGAATAAACCACAAAGTCTTGTAGTTACTAGTGATTGCCGCAAATACTTGGAACCACTTGACAAAATTGCAAAATAACTGCGAATTTGAATAGATTGTTTTGCACCATGCAACACATGCACTCTTGCTCATGCGCTAACTAATCATCTGCTAACGAAACATGTACATGAAAAACCCCCACCCTCTAGGGAAAGCAACAAGAAACCAAGAGTAAAGTAAAATAAAAGTCTAGATGAGGGTGGTGGGGCTGGGCGGGGAAAAATAAATGGAAAGCAGGCAAGATACTAGGATGTGTATAGAGAGAGCATAATTGTGTTTTTGGGGATCAAAGGGGTAAAAAGCATGATTAAAAATGTCCATCGGTCAGAGAAGACTCAAGACTTTTATGGGCTCTATTTTCACATTCCCATTTCTTAGATACGTTCGAGGTTCAAGGCCAGGTGCCACTATCAACGCCACAAATAGAACTGCTCATTGCCGAGATCATGGCTCAGACCAATCCACTTGGTCGGTGACTGGGTCTCCACCGTCCCGGGCAGAAGTCACTCTGAAACGAATGCGGAGCTTGGGGGGAAGGGCCTGGGCGAAAAGGTTAGCTATTACGGACTTCTTAAAAACAAAATTGAAAGAAAAGTGACATACCCCATTAAGTGCTGTCACACGCAGCGTCTGGACACCCTCATCACCGGCATCCAGGTCAGCCTTGCTGATAGCGCTCAGTTGCAGCTTCTGGCTCTTAGGCACAGCAGCCTGCAGACCAACATTGGAGAAATGGTCAAAGTTAGACTCATTGCGGAACTTGGCCACAATTTGAGCAGTGGCGCCGCTACGCTGGACTTGCAGAGCAAGCGCCAAGCCATCCTTATTGTAGGCGTTGTGTGCGGGAGTTGAAGCAGCAACAGGAGCAGGGGAAGCAGCAGGCGAGGGCGCAGAAGCGCCCATGCCACCTCCCAGCAAGTCCAGCCCCGAAGAAGATTGCTGACTTGGCTGAGGAGAAGGCGAAGCACCGTTCGAGCCGAAGAGACCCATAATATCGTTCTTGCTTGAGGAACCTTGAGGGCCGGGCGTTGGGGCAGGCGACGACAAACCCGAGTCTCCGCCAAGGATATCTGCCAGCAGATCGGCGGTGTTTGAGCTATTAGATGTCGGGCTCGTGACAGGGGCATCAGAGCCACCCATCAGGTCAAGAAGCAAGTCGTGGTCACCGGTAGGCTTAGCCGTCTTGGTGGACTTGCCGCGAACAATCTTGCTCTGGCGCTTCTTCGCTGTCGGAGCACCGAGCACACGCTGTTCCTCACAGATCTCGGGAGCTGGCATACGTTCCAGAACACCACGTCGGATTTGGTCATATCCAAACAGATTGGTATATTCGACGGCACGCTGCTGGATCTCAACACTCAAATCGGCGGTTCGGCTGCTAAGGAAGCGACGGAGACGCTCAATTTGGGAGGCATCTGTCATGCGCACGGTGAGTTTCATGGACGCGGTAATGATATATTCGATCACGATCTGAGAGGCGTAGGTGCTGTTGAGAATGTTCATGAAAAGGTCGACAAGATCGCTTTCCCGAACCTCCTTGACGAGTTCCTCCTCTTCATATTGGCCACCTTGCAAGAGGCTATCGGCATATTCACCAATCGACCAAGTCGCTGCGAGAGTCAGTCCCTCTTGAGAGATATCCTCTTTCAAGGAAGAATAGAGCTTCTGGACGGCGTATGTCTGCAGTTCGGGGGTAGTCGCAATTAGACGGACAAAGGAAGAAAGAATCTGCTCCTTAACGTAGTTCCCAGCCAGCTTGAGAACTCGGAGAATGGTATCCATGTGCCAGCGCTTGTTGGGCGCAAATCGGTCCGCGGCAATACCGATCTGAGTTGTCATAGACGGCTTGAATTCATTATCGGCCCCTTCCAGGAAAGCCAGGAGCTCCCGGACGAGCACGCGCACATTGCCTTCGTTGATCAACATGAAGCTGAGATCAAGCGCTCGCCGGCGAATGCTGATATCGGGATCACGCAGACATTCCAGGATAGTGTTGCGATGTCTTTGCACCGCGTTCGGCTCGATTGCAACAACCTTGTTCAGGGTGTTCAAAGCAACGTAACGAATGTTGTTGTCCTTGTTCGCCAAGAACTTACCCAGGATGTTGACACCCAGAACCCTCAATCCTGAGTCGGCTTCAATATCCAGGATAGTGAGAACGGCCTCGTATAGAATGGAATTGCCGACGTTCTTCGAAGAGTCGGTGTTGGTTGCCACTTGGGCCAGAATATCATTGATCATTTCACTGGTAGCCGCATCTCCTCGGCCCAATACGCGCAAGAAACGGAGGATCTTGACCTGAAGGAAAGGATCTGTGATACCGGAAACGTCGTGCTCCGGGGCGTAGCCCGAAGTCGTCAGCCCCTTCAGTGCGCGCACGAGGCCTCCGGCGAGTGGTCGGAACATCTCGATCACACCCTCTGGACCCTCCTCTTCCTCCTCCGCTTCACAAAGATCCGTCGCAAATGTGAGACCGCAAATCAGGACACCGTGGTTTCGGTCACCGAGGAGAGTCTTCGCCTTCTCGAGGAAGTGTTCGTACAGGTCAGGAACCTTGCGACATATCCGCATGGCACAGATGGCCGCTTTCCGGCGAATGTAAGGGTTCGCAGTTGACATGAGGTTTTCGACTTCGAGGAAAAGGTCACGAGACATCTCGATGGAAGCGATGTTGCCGAGTGCGCAAAGGGCGAGACCGACGATATATTGGTTTGAGTGACCGAGGTCACTGCGTGCTGTTAGCATGGGAAGAGCCCCTGGAATATCTCTGCCTTCCATAGCCACTCACTTCTTCAAAGAGTTCGTCACAAGTGTAAGCACCTCCTGGTTCTCATCCAACAGCAGCATCGTTCCCAGGTAGCCCAGTCGCTTGTCGGCGAATCGGTGCGAGGCGAGCAGCTTCAGACATTCGATCTGACCAAAGTGAGTCCGTTCTCCGAGGGTAAACAGGTACAGCAACTTGGCGACATTGTTCCTCCTGCAGCGCAATTAGAGGTAGGAATTGACAACGAAGAAAGTAGATGAAACGAACCGAACGCCAGAGTCGTGGCTCTCTTCTCGGAACGAGGCCCGAATCGCAGCACTCTCTTTCTGAATGACAGCCCGCTCATCGGCAATTGTCTTAGCAGAGCGGACATTTCGAATGAATTGCTTGACTGTTGGGAAAGAAGTGCATTAGAGGCCCGTAGCTTCAGGGGAGGAGGGGCGGCGGGCAGCAACGTACGGGATGACATGGCGGCCACAACCCCCGGCGGGGTCAAGGGGCGAAGTGGTCAATGAGGGGGTATAAGAAAAGGGGATCCGCAAAGGGATCCAAGAAAGATGAGCTGAGCTGAGCTAGGGCACGCGAGGTATGAAGCAATCCAGCGTCCGGTCTGGATTGTGCTTTATTATGGCCCGTGACTTGGGTTGACCTGGCTTCTTGGCAGGGTGCGCTAGGCCCAAAGGGGAATGGGCGGGGATGCTGACTGTGCGGGTGGTCACCTGACATCGTCCAGTCTTGGTTATGTCATTCTGCCCGCCAATGTAAGGGCGGTGAGTCCCTCTCGGCGGTGAGGAAGACCACACGTACCGTCAGTGACGTAAATTACTCTGTGGCTTCTGCAGATCCGCGGAGGTTCCGTGAAAGAGTCGTACTCGTACCACTCTTGATTGTCAGGGGATATGCATGCTCATCTGGTCACATTGGCCATTATTCCCAAAAAAGTGTCATAATGCCATGACCCTAGACTGGGTTGAAATCTTGCCCAGCCCTGCTTAAATGTATCACATCAAAGCCGAGAGCCAATCCGTACTGTATTGCTATTTCTGTAAGGCTGACCGTTGACGTAGTTTGGTGGTTCGGCCCCGTTTTTCGGACATGGCGCTTCTCCCCTCAAAACATTCGTCACATAGTTTCGCTGGATAAACACACTCCGGCTCTCTCCATTTCCTAAGGTTCTTCACACTCACTTCTGATGTGGAACGTTCTTCTTCTCCTTCAATTCCGTTCCTACGCCGCAAATGTCCAGCGCCGTCTCGCATAATGACTCGTCCGCACTGCGGTCTCGCCCCGTTCCCCTCCAGTCCCAGAAATCGGACGGAAGTCTCAACACTCCAGTGGACAAGCTGGCCTTGGACAACAGGTAAATGATGTTCTTCTGATTCATTCTTTCTCGTACCACTGCATGGTTCAATGGTTAACGCCCGTGTCGCACCACAGTGGCCGATCAACCCCCGTTCCTGAAGATGCGCCTCCGTCGGCGCATTCGATCTCGACAGCTCGCAAGCAAGTGAGGGCTCGGAATCGCCTATTCTATACGATTGACTATGTGCCACGGGTGTCTCACTTTGATCCTGATAGCGATTACCATAACTTCCGAGGGTTCTTCGTTCTGTTTTGGATCAGCCTGTTTATCATGGTGATGACAACCGTGCTACGCAATGTCAAGGATACAGGATACCCGCTGCGAGTCCGAGTCTGGAGCCTATTGTCTACAAATGTGGTAGAGCTTGGTCTCACTGACCTAGCTATGGTGGTCACCTCAGGCCTTGTCCTGCCCCTCCAGAAGCTCTACCGGAGCGGCCCCAAATGGCTGCACTGGTCTCGTGGGGGTATGATGGTGCAATGCATGGGTGAAATACTGTGGCTTGCTTTGTGGGTCAAGTAAGTTGCCTGATTCTATGCATTCCCCTTGCCTTGACGTGAATCGATTGCTGATATTTACTTGGATTTTAGCTGGCCGTTCATGCGCCTCTGGACTTGGACCGCTCAAGTCTTCTTCACACTTCACACCTTGACAATCCTCATGAAGCTTCATTCTTATGCCTTCTACAATGGTCATCTGAGCCAGACTGAGAGCCGACTGAATGCTCTAGACAAGACCGGATCCCTTCCACCCAGCTCTCCGACCGCTGTCCACTACCCGGAACCTAAGAGGCGCCGGCCATCGATGAAGTTACAGCACGGTGATGAGGATCACCCTGAGGAGCCATTGGCTCGTCTGCGTGAAGATCTGGCTACAGAGCTGGTCTCGCCACTGGGTAACATCTCCTACCCACAGAACCTCACTACCGGCAACTACCTGGACTTTCTCTTTTGCCCGACATTGTGCTATGAGCTCGAGTATCCTCGTCGTCAAGAACGCCGCTGGGCAGAAATTGGATGGAAGACCCTCGCTGTATTCGGATGCATCTTCCTATTGACTCTAACCAGCGAGGAATTCATCCTTCCCGTTCTCACCGAGGCCCATAATCAGCTCGAGGTCTTTGAGAGTACCATCGACAAGGCACTGATTCTGGCCGAAACCATCAGCATGCTCCTCTTCCCCTTCATGATAACCTTCCTGCTGGTGTTCCTGGTCATCTTCGAGTATGTTCTGGGCGCCTTTGCCGAACTAACTCGCTTTGCGGACCGTCACTTCTACTCTGACTGGTGGAATTCTTGCGATTGGTATGTGTCACGCTTCCTTTGTCCCGGGTTTATCTAATATCATCTCTCTTCAGGCTCGAGTTCTCTAGAGAGTGGAATGTTCCCGTTCACCACTTCCTCTTTCGCCACGTTTACTACCCCTCCCGGTCCCGCTTCTCCCAGCCCGTTGCCATGCTCATTACCTTTTTGGTGAGCTCCGTCTTCCACGAATTGATCATGAGCTGTATCACCAAGAAGTTGCGCGGATACGGCTTTGGTGCTATGATGCTCCAGCTACCTATCGTCGCTGTCCAGAAGTCCCGTTTCTTCAAGGGAAGGACCACCCTCAACGTAAGTTTTGCCCTCATTGCTCCACGAACATGTACTGATCCTGTGTTAGAATGCCTTTTTCTGGTTCTCGATGATCTCGGGTCTATCGATTGTGAGTTCTCCTATCTTTCAGCCACTACCACCTGACAAATTCTAACATTATATCTTTGCAGATGTGCGTTTTCTACGTTTTAGTCTAGACTGAGCGGCCATCTCTATCTTAATATGTCGCAGAAGCTTGCGTAGGACGGGGTTCAAACTGATTCAGTAGAATCGAACTCAACTAGTATGAAATCCAGCGAGTGATTAGATCGTTTCAAGTTCGCATCTGAAATTGCTGTTGTTTGGAATACCCCTTCGCTTTCTTTTGGTTATTCTTACTTGGCACTTGACTTTGACAGGCAAAGCTTTGTACATAACCGTAGTTATGTTTATATTGATTGATATTGTCATTTACTATAACCTTTTTTTTCTCACGCTGTACTATCCTTGGCCACCTGTGAATGTTGGCTCGGGCTGTAAGTTCCTGGTGTGTACCAGCGCACGAAAGGGATTGGTAATTACTCAAGATTCCTTTATTAGAGCCAAACATACCAATACTATCTATATCTTCTGTTCTCTATCCTGTATGATTTACTGCAAGCACCGAGGTAAACTCGTCCTGGTATAGTCTGCAGGTCACCTGATGGTGGGGTCCAGTACTTGTGCTCTGGCAACTCAGCCGCAATCCCAGGCCACTCTGGCTACGATCATGGCAGCCATGACATCGCAGAAAAATTCAAACTACGGGATGCAGCTGGATCAGAACTATGGCAACATTACAGCGAATTTTGGTAAGTGGGACCCCGTAGATATACGTAAAGGTGTATCAACCGGACGAGCCTCGACTAAGCAGAGCGGCTATCTGATGTAGTACAATCCGAATCTCCATTGAATCAGGAATGCTTACGAGATCTTCGGACAACCAATCCTTACGATGACAAGAGTCGCATCCAAGCGACTAATGGAGGACTGCTGAAAGACTCATACCGCTGGATTCTCGACAACGAGGAGTTCAAGCAATGGCAGAACAGCCAAGGCACTCTGCTCTGGATCAGGGGCGATCCTGGCAAAGGCAAAACAATGCTTCTCTGTGGCATAATCGACGAAATTCCAGGTATTTCTGAAGAGGATACGAGTATCTCGTTCTTTTTCTGCCAGGCAACTGATCCAAGGATCAACACCGCAACTGCTGTGCTTCGCGGCCTAATCTTCTCGCTCATCCTGAAAAAGCCATCACTTCTCTCTCATGTGCGAGTGAAGTATGAACAAACTGGCAAACAGCTTTTTGATGATATCAATGCCTGGGGTGCCCTGACAGATATTCTCACCGATATCCTGGACGAATTGGCCTGCACCTATTTGTTAGTCGACGCACTAGACGAATGCACGACAGGGCTATCCTCACTTATCGACTTCATCATTCAACATTCAGCTGCAAATCAGCGAGTAAAATGGGTCGTTACGAGCCGCAATTGGCCTGAAATCTATGAACCTCTTCAAATCGCAACTGGTGTAACTCCGATCTCGCTTGAGCTAAACGAATCGTCTGTATCCGAAGGCGTGAATAGCTTCATTCAGCATAAGGTTAGTCAACTAGCCGTGCTGAAGAAGTACAATGATGAGACTCAACATGAGATCGGCCAGTATCTGTCTTCATAGTCGCAAGGTACCTTTCTCTGGGTGTCTTTAGTCTGCCATGAACTTGGTCGAACCCCTCGATGGCGTGCTCTGGAGAGATTGAAAGGGCTGCCTCCGGGTCTGAATGCACTATATGACAGAATGATGGAGCAAGTTTACAAATCAGAGGATGCAGAGCTCTGTAGGCAGATATTAGCTACCATGTCAATAGTATATCGCCCCGTCACCCTTCTTGAGCTTCAGTCTTGTGTCGAGTTGCCTAAGGTCTTCACTGGTGACCTCGAGGATATAGCCAGATCATAGCCCTCTGTGGCTCTTTTTTGGCTTTACAAGGCGATACCAACATCATTGTTTTTGTTCACCAGTCTGCGAAAGAATTCCTTCTCGAAAAGGCATTTTCCCAGATTTTCCCTATGGGTCTGGAAGCAGAACATCACACTATTTTTCTCCTTTGTTTCAAAACTATGGCAAATATCCTTCGCCGTGGTATATCTCAAGCTGACATCAAGTTGCCGAACATCTCAAATATGGCAGCCCAAAGACCCAACCCGAGCCTATTGGCACCTGCAGAATATGCCTGTGTCTACTGGTCTGGTCATCTTCAACATTGTGGTCGCATCATATCTACAAACAGTGATTTTGAAGATAACGGGACGATTGACAGGTTTTTACGGCAAATGTATCTATACTGGCTTGAAGCTCTCAGCCTACTCGGCAAAACGTCAGAAGGCGTTGTTGCAATGCTTGAACTTGATGCCTTACTTTTAGTACGTCCCAGATTCTCTCTTCAAAAGGGTAGCCACTAATCGCAGATTCCTGTCGTAGAGGAGGGGCAACTCGGTAGAAGTGAAGGAACGCGCCCATGACGCTTTGCGCTTTTTCCGATATTTCAAACATGCAATAGAACGCAATCCTTTGCAAGTTTACTGTTCACCTTTGTTATTCAGTCCCTATCGCAGCAGGACTAGAGAGTGCTATCAGTATGAATCACCCGGGTGGGTAACCATTGCTGGGAGTGCTGTACTCGAGAATGAATGGAGTCCCTGCCTTCAAACTCTTGAGGGAAACCACTGGAATGCTGAAATGGTTGTAGGGCACAGGTATGGATGGCTTGCATCAAAGCCTAACGGTCAATCAATTGAGATTTTTAATCTGGATACTGGTCAGTGTATCTCAAGACTGGAGACGGGGCACAAGCAAGTTTCCAGGACTGTCTGGTCTCATGATGGAAACCGCCTTGCATCATCAGGCCATTGGGGTGGGATGGTCGAGATATGGGATCTGCAAACTGGCAAATGCATATCAAAATTGGAAGTTGGTACAAATCCCGATTTCATTATTTGGTCTTTTTCTGGTGCTCGACTTGCTACACAAACTTCAGACCAAACGACCGATACATCGAGTCCAAAGACCGAGAAGCACATGCATCAACCGGTATGCTGTACAGATACCGACCCTCGTATCAATTCCAATCTCCCCTTCGAGTTTGATGTTCAACGATCAACAACAAAAATCTGGGATACCAACACTGGCCGATGTATATCAACATTTGAATCGAAAGGCACTATTTCCTGGGCACGCGATGACATTAGACTTGCATTGAAAGAACAAACGACAATTTCTATCTGGAACACAGACACTTGTCAATGCATCGCAACACTGGAGAGGGGACATCTTGATCCAATAATAGCTCTTGAATGGGTACCTGATAGCACTCGCATCGTATCAGAATCAGAAGATGAGCTGGTAATATGGGTTTTACCTACCACGCTGAAGACCGAGCCATCTGTTCGTATACAGGGCCAATATTCAGACGAGCTCATGGGATCGTATCCTCTCCATTTTAGCTGGGAAATGCATCATATTACTCCTATATTGAGACCCGCTCTCTATATCTTAGAAGATAAAATTTCGACAGCGCGATTGAGAACCACTCTCTCTTTTTCAGAAGATGGAACCAAATTCGCATCGACAGGACTTAGGCATGCAATCAAGATTTGGAGCACCATAACTTCTAAATGCATATCGACACTTCAAGAGCATGATATTATCTTGTGCATCGCGTGGTCTCCCGACGGAACGCGGCTCGCGTTTGGCTCTAAGGGCTCTACAGTAAGAATCTGGAATCCAATGACAGCACACTGCATGCTCCTTCTGAGAGGACACACGGATGCTGTTACGGCTGTTCTTTGGTCACAAGATGGGAATCGACTGCTCTCGTTATCCAACGATCTGACTACCAGAATTTGGGACACTTCCAGTGACTCTTATACTAGTAGTCACTCCACGTCGGCCATTGATAGAGCTGATGGGCAAGTGATATTCATCGCTTGGTCCCATGATGAAACAAGGCTTGCATCATTATCGAGGGATTGGACAACTTTCCGAGACCTGACGATCAGCATTTGGGATAAGCACTCAGTAAAACCGATCCTGACATTCAAAGCACATCATTTATCTGTCATTGGCTCTACCAAACATTCTCAAATATTCTGGGCACGAGATGGATGCCGGCTTGCATCTGTAGCAGATGACACAACGAATATCTGGGATTGCTTTACTGGGAGATGCATCTCTACATTGACGCATCGCACCATGAACGTCGATTATGTCTCATTCCTTGATTGGTCACCTAGTGGAACCCAAATTGCATCAGTCGAGAAATTTAACTCCCGTTCGAGAGTGAGAATCTGGAATCTATCTACTTTCACCCAAGAGGCCCAGTCTGGTTCTGGGCTGTTTAACGGATCGGTCCAACCTTTTGAGTGGTCTCCCGATGATGCTTGGCTGGCATCAACCATTATGAATATGACAGATTTTCCATTCGGCTCATCTTCACAAGGGACTGTCATTAAAATTTGGAACTCAGCTTCCGGAAGATGCTTGCTGACGTTTGAACTAGAAACCAAGGTATCATCCATGTCCTGGTCGAACGACAGTACATGGCTCAGGCTAGGATACCTTTGCGTGAAGGTAGACACATTACTCACAGACCGTCGTGAGAGGCCAACAGCTACTGGCTTTGAAAGTTCCTCAACTGTTTCTGTGTCTCATGACGGAACCATGCAAGCATCATTGTTAGAGGGCAGGACTATCAAGGTCTGGGACATAGCCAAGGACAAGTGCTTACATGAGCTTCAACTTGAGGTTTGCCAATGGATCGTGTTCGACTCATCCGATTCGAGCATTCTACATACTTCTGTTGGTACATTTAGGTTCGGTCATGATAATCACAAGAGACGCCACCCGATAAACGACTCCGACAGCGAGGAATCCGTACCACGACAAGCAGGATATGGCATAAAGAGCGATGAAAGCTGGATTACGTTTGATGGGCAAGACCTCCTGTGGCTACCCCCAGATTTTCGACCAGCAAGGCCGGATTTGTTCGTTATGTCAGGCAATACGGCGGTGATCGGTTGCTTCTTAGGCCATGTTCTGATCTTAAACTTTTTCGGGATGAATCCTATTCAATCACTTGCTGCCAGCACTAGTCCGGTACCATGTTGTGAGCCAGCCCAATGAAACCAACTTCAAGTTCTGTCTTCTCTAAAAAAAACTCTTCAATTTTTCTCTTTTTTTCCTCTTATTTTCTATTTTCTACCTAGGTATCGTAGAAGGTAGGCAATAATGGTGGGGAATAAGGGGTTCAAACTTTTGCAACGCTACTGTAGTATACGTAACCAATGCTTTATCGATTAAGAGAGCTCTATTCACTTCATTCTATTAGCTAGAGATAGTCGAAGAACATAACTTATCTTTCATATAACACAATCTAATTTCATAAAAACCACGAAGGCAAAGTCAGAATCATAAAGGTCATCAATCAAGGAACGTAAATCCATCATGAATTTCGAGTGAGATTAGTACACATAGGGTAACTAATTTCATACATTCCAAGAGAGAAAAAAAGAATAAACTAGACATCATAGATGGCACAGAGAAGGGGGAAGAGAGAGAAAAAAATAACAAACGAGGATATGAGGATATGGATAAAAATTTGATAAGAAAAGAAAAAAAAAGTCAACAGACAAAAAAGAATAACATGCGCCGGTGAGGTGTGTATGTTTGATATGGTTAAATTATCCCATGCGATCCGAATCCCCCCATTGCGCCGACGAAGACATTGTGTGATAATCCAGCTAAGAAAGCCCTTTGGATGCACACTGCGAAAAAAACCGAACCGTCCCAATGCTCGGAAAGGGGAGGGAGGAAATATGTCTGCTTTCGCTACCGGGCTTCAACTACAACGAAGTAGGAAGTCCAGTAGAGAGAGAGAGCGCAGAGAATGTATCTCCCGGCCCAGTAAAAATTGATGGTGGAAACCAGTGTATGCGGATTCCGAAAGGAACTGCGCTGGGCAGTTCGCGAAAAGTATCGACAAGAATAGAAGACATTTGACATTTCAGGTCATGAGGTGTGTGTATGTGTGTGTGTGTGTGTGTGTGTGTGTGTGTGTGTATGGAAAAGGAAAAACAGAAAGGAGATTGCATGGTCGTAAAGGCTGTCGTTACTTAATTTAAATTATGCGGCGGTAGACTGGCGTCTGCTTGGAGGAGGATGACGTTCGTTGTAGTAAGAAGATGGGATCTTCTGAGAGCGACTGGGCGAGTAGCTCGCATCGCCAGGGCGAATATCCTTGGCGTATTTAATATCGCTGCGTCCCACGGGTCGAGTGTATTCGACATCGGTATAGGTTCGGGAGGGCTTCACGGAGGGCTTCACGGAGCGGATCTCGATGCGGGATGGCTCGGCAAAGGTGTTGGCACGCGGGGGCATGGTGCGGGTAGGACGATCCCGATCGGGCGATGCCATACGATACTTCGACTTCGAAGGCTCGATGGTGATTGTTTCGGGATCGATTGTATAGCGAGCGGTCACCTTGGGCGAATGACTGTGCTGGGGCATCTCCGGGGTGCTGGAACTGGAGTAACCGGAATCATTGTTGCGCAGCTTCGAAGATCGCGACGGGGGAACCTGTTCACGGACCATTTGGTCGAGACTGGAATCATTGCGGCTGGAGCTTTCCCGCTTGGGTCGGGTAAAAGCAGTGGCGGTCGCAGTGGTTGCACGGGTGAACAGCGAAGGTCTCATTGACGACTTCACGTTAGGCGAAGTGGTCGCGGAGGGCATCTTTGGTGGTTTGAAATAATCTCCACTGCGGGAGTCTAATTTGTCATATGAATTGTTGCGAGATGAGGAACGCTCGCGATCCCTGGTTGACCGAGAGGACCGAGCCGCGCGCCGCGAGGCAGATGTTTCTGGTTCCCCCGAGTCGTAACCACGGCGTCGCGGTGGGGATCGAGACGACCTTGGTCGAGCATCTTGTTCATGCTTCGAACGTTGAATATGCTCCTGGGCACCGTACACCTTACTTTGCCAGGCATCCTCGGAATAATCCTCATCCTCATAATAGGTATCGCGGCGACGGGGGGCCGGCCTTGTCGGGCGCGATCGTGACTCCCGAGGAATTGACTCCCTCGTTCGTCGCGAGGAAGAGGGTTCCCTGGTCCGTAGATAGATTTCAGGGCCACTAGATTCATACTCACTTTCCGAATCTACTATCCTCGGGGAGTAGGAATCAAATTTCTCTTCATACTTGGCGGAAACGTCGCGGCGACGCTCTCGATCGAGCTTCTTGGCCCGGTCGGCATTCGATGCCTTGGTCGATTCGCGAAGGTCCTTAGCCGCGCGCTGACTGCTCGTTGGCACGCGAGCCTTCTTCCTATCATCAGTTGGCTTTGGTTTCGTTCGACGGCCGAAATCATCGTTCTTGCGACCCATTGGGTTGGGCTCGTCGGTGAATCGCATCGCTTCATCGAAGTAGCTCTCCATTGGGACACGCTCTTCGACAATATGACCATTTCGCATTTCACGGGCCGAGGCACTGCCACTCCTCGTGGCGAGGCATATGAGGAATCGGTTCGTCGGTGCTCTCTTAATTCTCGTTTCAGCTCGGCCAATTTGGCCTCCTTGTCGAGAAACTTGGCTCGTCCATTATCATAAGCGGATCGGTCTTTATCGTCGGAGAGAATCTCGTATGCTTTCTGAACGCGATGCCATTCTTCTCGCGCGGATTCGCGTTGTGATTCATCCTTGATCTTGTCGGGGTGGAGATTTAAGGCGAGCTTTCGATAGGCTCCACGAATCTTGGTTAGGTCGGTTTCCTTGGAGACGCCCAAGGCGGCATAGTGATCTGTCTTGACATCGTCGGGCTGTAACATGTTGGGTGGCAATGGGGAAAAATAAGAAGAGGGTTCACCAAGATCAATGACTTGGTTTCAAACCCCCGATAGGGAATTGAGGGGCAAGAGAGAGAGGTATAGGATTGAGAGAGGGGGGGGGGGATGTGGTGAATGGGAGAAGGAATGGGGGAAGAGGGGAAGAGGCGGTGGAGATTTGTATGGAATGCCAGCGTGAAAAGAGGTGACGTTTCGAAGAATCCACTTTCATCGAGAACGATCGGGAGAAGGAAGATGATAAATTGGGATCAAATTGGCAACAAATTGGTCAGGGAAGGCAAAAGATTAGAAATAGTGTCGGGTAGGACAATGCCGTGAGGCACTGCAAATGCAAATATGCCAATGCGAAGCGAAGCGAATCGCAACAATGTGTCAACTAGGAAGTTGTTAAGTAGAAAGGGGATCGGAGCAGCCCTGGCAAGGCCGTGAAAGCCGATGTTTTAGCGTTTAGTGCTGTTGGGGTATGTTTAAAGGGGCGAAAAGAACATTCCATAGGCACGGGCAATAGCACTGAAGTCTATGTCACGGTACTCTCTGGCAATGGAGAACTTCGCACTTCCAACTCCGCCACAAAAAGATCAGCCAACAGTGGCGGACTTCAACTTGCTTCACATTCAATACTGTACAGCTCCAGCCTAACCCCATCCCACCTGGGTTCTCTGCATTCCTTTAACCACTCCAGCTTCAGCCCATTATCCTCCGCTCCTCACCTCATTCTTCATTGCTGAGCATGACCACCACCATCACCCGCCTCATCCCCATCTTGCTTCACTGAGCGGTAGTTCCGTCATCCTGACTGGCTTAGACTGGCTTTCACCGGCCCTTCACATCCTCCATTTTCGGCCTGTGCGCCTCTTCCGATTTGTCTACTCCTTCCCCAGACATCCACCAATCGCTGTCTACTACCGGCGGGGCCAGCAATCAAATCAACACGAGGCACGAAAGGAACTTTGGAAGACCAGCCCGAGCCCTGAACTTTCGCCCCCCCCTTCGTCACTTTACTCACCGTGATTCGCGCCTATCCTTTTTTCAATCATTTTTTTTTCGCCCCTGCGCCGTGCTCAATGCGGTGATTCCATCGGGCCTTCCAGGGCCCTCCAGAGCCCACTAGAGCCCACTAGCTAAGAGGCCTTTGGGTACAAGTCCCATGCATCCAGGGTATACGGCAATTCCCTCCAACAGCAGCCCCCCGCATAGCGCGGGTTCATCGCGGGATTTTTCTTTTTCGCCTCTCGCCTTGCTTTTTCCCTTTGCGGTTTTCGTCCTCCCACGTAACCCTGCGTGAGCTCAGCCTTTGGAACGCCCTATTGGATGCCGTGCCTGTTGTGGTTCCCCCTGTCTATGAATCGACCCCCTCGCGTGGAAACCCCGGGCAGTTCCGTGGGCCTTAATTTGTGGCTTAGTATAATGGAGACAGGCCGACCGCCTATATTTAGGTATCCCACGTAGAGAGTACAGTCACCGCCATCTTGTCCCCAGGCCAACATCTTTGGTGGGGAGAGAGAATAGGTACCAACATGGTACCAACATAGGCAGCCGTGCCTGGCGAAAAACAATGTACCGAGTACGGAGTTTCAGTCTATGCCAGCTGTCATAGGTATCTAACCTTCTCAATCATGAGAATCAATACCCCAGCTCGATCTGATCGTCTCGATCGTCTGCAGCCAACACTCATAGTCTATGTACGCTATGGCATTCGCGCATCACTATTGCGCTCATTGCACATTGTACATCACACATCCTCCTGTCATCCGGGGCTGATCGCCCTCTGATCTCTCCATCGTCGTTCCACCCAGGAAGACCCATGATCCAAACGTGTCCCCTGTCCTCATGTACCTCTGTACTCCACCCGAGGACAAGGCCAAGACCTAACCCAAGACCGCAAGATTCGGCCTGTCATCTGGACCCGGCCCTGCGGTCCGCGCGGCCAGAGACACTTTTCAAAATGCGACGAACCCATCACCCGGAGACGGAGCCTACGTGCGTACTGCGTACTCCGTGCTCCGTATGAGGGAATTGGATAGGCTAAACGACCACGCTCTATCACAACGGTTAGTGTGCCAATCGCCAAAGCCTCAATCCAAGCTAGGCAGGAAAGGAAAGGAAAAAGAAAAGAAAAGACAAAAAAGAATCCAGAGCCCCTCCCCCCACCAAGGTCTTTCGCGCCCATGAACGGGTACGAGTACTCCATACTCCGTACTAGTACGATGGGTACGATGGGTTGATCCCATAATTCGGTCATTTGACGGAGTGTGATGGAGGTGCAGTAAGTAACCCAACCCCTCCTCCACTTCCCCCCTCCAAACCCACCAGGCAACATGCGATTGCATACCACCCTTTCAATCCCGACCACAGCAAACAACCTACCCGCCATGGGCGAGTCTCGTAATCCTCCGATCTCATCACATCCATCGCTCTGGTAGTACAGAGAACGGAGCAGCGGACTACTGTAGACTAGATACTCACGCTGAACTGGTTTCTAACCTTATCCACCGGGCTTCCCCCGCCCTGGGTCCTTTGCAACTGTACCCCGCGATGATCCGCGCCGATAGTGTCTGGATTCGGAGAATCCGAATCATTGGACGTAGCCTCGTGGAGAAAAAGAATTTGAATATCAGCTGGGACTGAGACCGGCACTACGAGTACGAGTCGTCGGTTAGCTCTGAAGCTGGGTAGCTGATAGCTGGTAGTGGGTAGCTGGAACTTGACCTGTCTTGGTCGCGAAACAAGCCAGACAAGGTCTATGCTGAAACATGCACATTTCCTTCACATGGGAAAAGAGATAGCGGGGAACTTAAGCAGGCAGCAAACTCCCCTGCGTCATCCATCATGTTTCAATCCAAGGGCACGTTTCCAGCCACTCAAAGCTCCAGAGACAAGAAGCCCAGAGACGCCGCTAGAACTCAGCTAGCCGGGTGATTCTTCATTACGAGAGCCTACCGCCATGTCTTGCTTGGGCCTGGCTTGGTCTTCTACGAGCCCACTGCGTCTGCCCTGGCTGAATAACCACTTGCCGCCCTGTACCTCGGAAAATGCAAGTCACCAGCGACAAAAAGAAAAAATAATTCAATGAATGATCGTCCTCGCATACATAGGTCACACTCTCAAGGTTAGAGATGGATGGCAGAATCATGATTTGGTTGGTCATTATTTGTAGGGTAGTTTATTCCACCACTGGCAAATAACCACTAAGCTCGGTTGTTTAAGCGCTGAGAGTGATGGTTGGAACTTATCCTTGCTAGGGTGGTGTTCTGGAACCTCTGTTTTGAGTTTTTCTCCCATTTCCTGCAGATGACTTGTTACTAGTAGCTCATCTACTTCGTACCTTAGCTCTTGGTGATATCACTTTTCGGAAAGGAGAGGTTGCGGCATTTCAAACATGTCAGATGGATAAAGTGAATCACTCACATGTACATTGTAGCACATATATAATATGCCATACGGACCCTCCTCCGGCAGTTTGCGTGCGGGGTTTGATATGAATGGTTATGGGATTGGTTAAGAAGGGCGCAAGGCTATGTACATATGAACAATTCATACGAGGATGGACGGGGGGAAACGAGAAATAAGACTTGGATATATGCAAAGGACAAGGCTGCCTATTTTGTCCAATTTAGCATGAACTTGCATGAGATATAATCATACCCGTGGACACATATATAAATACTAGCACCCCCCGGTCACTATTAGTATTTCTCGGGAGTTATTCTGTAGCCCGACCTCCGAGTCCGAGTCAAGTAACCATGTAACTATACATACTACCATACCTCCGAACCGGAGGATCATGAAGCCCTCAACACGGGCGTATCATCGGGACCATCAGCCAGTCCGACGGGTCTACTCACCCATATACGGCGGTCTTTGCGCGCGCACGACCTCGGTCGCATTTGAATGATGTAAGCCTTAACGTCTGACAACATCAGGATTTTCCGCCATCGACTAATCGTATCGTATTGATGTATCAAAGCGGCCAACCATCGGGGTCGTGGAGGCCAAAGCTCCCGTTGATCATGCATGGTGGTGGGAACGTCTTGAGATACTGGATAGATGGGCTGCAAGCCACAATATGCACCTGGCATGGGGTACAGAGAGGAAGAAGGGAAAACTTCAAGGCGTACTGCGACGGTGTCCCGGGGCGCTGTGGATATCAGCTATTATGCTGATGAGGCTGGATTATAATGCGAAAACAATTATATATGTATTGGGTCAGAGGATGGTAAGATAGTTTGAGGCTCAGAAGATTCAGCTGCTGTTTTTTTGAGGAAAGTGATAGCTCATCTCTCAGGGAAAGATTAGGGTAATAAATCGTATTCAATTTATGAGTGCTTGGTTTTTCTATGTGATAGTATTTGACGACGTTCGCTCAAGCCGTATTGAAGAACTTGTGCCAGCCTCGTCGTCGAAACAATCATCTTGACACATTCCTTTGTAGCAGCTTGAAATAAAGCGAAGTATTTTAATGAATGGCGACTCCCTCATTTGAAGACAATGTCATCGATTTAGTCATGCTACAGCTATAATTTAACGCATCTAAAGATATGTTGAAGGGCTTGCGAACTACATATTCATGGTATACAAATAGCCACATCAAATTAGCACAAGCATCGGAGGAACTTGAAGAGATATAAAACTTGAAGTCCGTTTTAGTAGACTTTCAATCAATACTCTACACTCATGATGAGGCACTATGGATGAAGTCACGATAATCCGAGACCTAAAATCATACTGGAGGTATATATCTCCTCATTACTAGTAATGTAGGTAGCATACGCCTATTTTCAGACGAAAGGGTGCATTCGTACAGACTCGGAGTTCCGAGGCTGGAGAAGAGACAAAAGATAGGACAATGGCTCTTGAGAGAGATTTCTGGCCATAACAACCACGTAAACTACACCTAGGGTTAGACATCCAGGCAGCAATATCCGAATGTTTGTCCATCTCAATCATTATATTACCCCAAACTTAAATCTCGATTCAGCCTCGTTGAATCGGCTCTTTGTTGTCTACATTATCTTTAAGATAAGCATCAGGGTGTTACTGCTTCTGCTGCTACTAGCACCTCATCTGGCGGCCATACCAAAGGACCTCGTCGATCTGGGTATTTCGCGAGGTAATCTATAATCTTGACAGGCACACCCTTGAAAAACATCACCGAGTATAAACTGTCATCAGTTGCACCTTTCCATCTTGGCTAAGGAACCGGCTCACATTTCCCATGAATCCATTATATTCAGAGGTGTAGGACACGAGGTCTATACTGAGCCTCTGGGTCTGTTTCCAGGACAGTTCGTGCCCAAAAGCCAGGTTGGTTACGTTCAAACACGGAATTGAGAAAGAAATAGAGAAATGATGTAATGGTCAAGAAAGTGTTGATATTGGTTGAAGGTGGTTGAGGAGAGAAGTTGCTATGGAATAGAAAAGCGAACGGGTTATGAAGGATCAAAAGGTGAATAGGTGAAACTGGTATAGTCCTCACTGCCCTCCCCTCTCGCCCGATATAATCTTCAAATTGATGATGTGCCTCACTGATATCACTGTGGACTCGGTTCCAAGTGTCTTCATTCGTAGAATCGGCAGTATCAACATGAACTACATCCCAGACTACTAATTCGGCCAAAAATGGACAACGAGCGCAAGGTCTATAGATCAATTGATTTCTGTCTTGAAACTACACACGTGCTAGTTGTCAGTAGTCACATAGCACGTCACCAATAAACCTAGTAGGCTACCTTCCGTAAATCTCTCTCACCTCTACGTCTCTCTCGGGCACCATTCAGGCAGCTCAATGTCCACGACCATGGGTGCATTGAACTGTTTGCCCCCCCCGATGCGGCCAGCTGGTTGCCATAATCGCAGCATTGACGACGCAAGTCTCCTTTCTGAGTGATGACAAGTATCGAAGACAATGGTCTTCGGTGCTCAGAAACGGCGCCCTGGACAAGCTCGCATTTTCTCGATTCCTCTGCTCATCAGGCATGATGACTGCGGCTGATCCAGCATTTTCTGGCAACGGTAGTGACCGTGCGTTTGATGTCTCAGATAAGGGCTGCATCCCAGAAGTCTCACACGCAAAGCTATGGCTGTCTAAACGGTCTCCCCGTTTGCCAGTCAGGTCGACTAGGTTCAGCTTCTTGCTTCCCCGGGGTGGTAGGGCACCGTGGATAACTCGGTCGACCCGATCACCAGTCTCGACTCCCTCGTCGGGATGCATCTCCATTATACTCGCATCTCCCCAACGGACTCGTCTATATCCTCGTCCTTCGTGCACGTGGCCACAAATAGCCAATGGCGGCCTAATGCGGCTCAGCGTTTGACGAAGCGAATTGCACCCGGCAAAACTTCCATCCGGCTTCTGGTCACATAGAGACTGTGGTGGTGTATGAGTCACGACTATATCCACGTTCGGGGGAATCTGGTCCCAGAGCGCCACAGCCTCACTGGATTCATATCCAAAGGCCCATGACCCTTTGAACTGGGAAAATGGAGACCCGAACACAGTGAATGTCGTCCGAGGGCCGTTCCCGCGGGTCAAGTGGATAGTGGTTGCTTGATGTCGAAGTAGGACAACTGAAGGTGCTGCTCCTGTGACGATATCGATGCATTGCTTGGGATCTTCCAATTTCTGGCCGTGGAATATGTGGCCGTTCTTGGCGTAGAATTCTGAGTCCAAAGTGACGTCGTGGTTGCCTGCATATAGAATTAGTGGTAAGTCACGATGTCTATCTGTGCTGGCCTGCGCTGCCGTGCAGTGATGAAAGTAGTGCATGTAGCATATAACAATGGTCGTATATAGGGTATGCATGTGGGTCTTCAGTTCACCGGCTTCGAACTGAACAAACATTGGGTATCGTCGAAGAACGGGAAAATGAACTGACCCGCCACAATGATTTTAATTTCAAAGTCGGCCTTGGAGATCCAATCCATCGTCCTACGGAGCTCGGACATGCTTCCATTGTTAGTCAAATCGCCCGCGTGTATGAGTACATCGCCCGCCGGTAATTTGAAGCCTGCTTCAGAAGGTGTGTAGCCATGGGTATCGGAGACGCAAACGAAACGTGTTTTTCGACGCATGACTCTGGGTTGTTTAGTTCTCGGTCTAGGCCCTTGGGTTCTTGATTGAGAAGGAAGTTGGGTGTTCAAGTATTGTGATCACGGCTGCACAGAATTGCTCGTGGTATCTGGCGGCATTGCAGCGAGAGTGGACAAATGGGCGGAGTTGGAACTCATAAGGCGTTGATATTTGCAAGGGAAGCGCGTTGAGAACCCAAGAGAAGTAAGAAAAAAAACATGTCCAAGGTCGATGGTAGAGATTAGTCATCGGACCCAGTCTTTGATGAAGTTGATAAGTTGATGGAACCCTAGGGATCAGGCACTAAGTCCCCAGATCTCGAGGATCTAAGGATTGGAGTACAGGTACGGAGTATACAAAGATCCAAAGGGTTCGGGAGGTAGTGTAGGGAAAAAGTGAGGAATATCAAGTTGGCTGTCATTCTAAATGAGATGTAGGTATATCTCTACCACCACCCCCCATGTATCAGTACTGCTGCTCTACCGCCACCACTCCACTCCACACCACAATGTGTCCTGGATGCCTTCTAGAACGTTACAGTACGAGTAAATGATTGCAGCCCTAACGGATTGCCCTAGACTGAGAAGGTGGGAAGGTACGACCCACCCACAACACATTTGGAAAGTGCTGATATAATCTGCCAAGTCCGGCGGGCGGTCAGACAGGCCCTAATTCTCATTGGTCATGCTTAGGGCTGCGGCCCTCACGACTAATCCACACACAGTAGGCTCTTTCGGGACTCGCTTAGCCACTTCGCCTGCGATCCATCCGACTTCGTTGTGTGCGTTGACTTGACTCCAACGACAACAACCGCCGACAACCACTCAACCCAACTATCACACGGTGACAGAGCAGGATGTCCAGCTTTGAGAACGTGGTGCGTTCAACATTCCGATCGTTTTTGCAATCCCCCCGACCACCAATCCTCCAATCTTCAAATCTTCAACATCGAATCTCTTCGCTTCGCTTCTTATCGAGATGGCAAATCGCTAACTTGAATCGCTTTGATATAGGTCGTCATCGACGGCAAGGGACACCTCCTGGGTCGCCTGGCCAGCACTGTTGCCAAGCAGCTGCTTAACGGTCAGAAGATCGTCGTTGTGAGATGTGAGGCCCTCAACATCTCCGGCGAGTTCTTCCGCGCGAAGCGTACGTTCACACATCCCCCCAATCCGACCTTTCCATTTCTCCGGCGGCAGAACACGATATTGCACAGGAACAACGACTACAAAAGGAGGAATATCTGGAGTTGCATATCGTGGACGCCACATTGAAGACTTGGAAAAGTACAGCACCCAACGAAGTACCGAATACTGACCTTCGTCTTTTCTCGACCAACAGTCAAGTACCACGCCTACCTCCGCAAGATGACCCGTTTCAACCCCACTCGTGGTGGTCCCTTCCACTTCCGCGCTCCTTCCCGTATCTTCTACAAGGCTGTCCGCGGCATGATTCCCCACAAGACCGCCCGTGGTGCCGCCGCTCTCGAGCGCCTCAAGGTCTTCGAGGGTGTCCCCCCTCCCTACGACAAGAAGAAGCGCGTTGTCGTTCCCCAGGCTCTGCGCATCCTGCGTCTCCGCCCCGGCCGCAAGTTCTGCACTGTCGGTCGTCTCAGCCACGAGGTTGGCTGGAAGTACCAGGACGTCGTCTCCCGGTACGTATCATTCCATCTGCTCGAATTGAGCAGATCCTTCGAATCGCCCAGAAATGATGAAATACTAACATGCATGCCTACAGTCTCGAGGAGCGTCGGAAGGTTAAGAGCAAGGCTTACTACGAGCGCAAGAAGGCCGCTCGCCGTGGCCTCGCCAAGGCGGAGCAGAGTGCGAACGTTAACAGCAAGACCAAGTCCCAGCTTGCTGAGTACGGCTACTAGATACCTGATAAAGTTCGGCTGGTTGATGTGAAGTGACGAAGGGTCTGGGTTGGGATCGCGGACGGTTTTGTTTCAGCGAATTGAACGGCAAGCCGATCGACCTTTATTTCCATGGCCCCCGGTTTCTCTCCTATTCCCTAGCCGCTTCATGAATACCACGACCTTGGTCGGTTGTGACGGACATGGGTGGCCGGGGACGGCGGAGATCCCAGGTGGCTTCGGATATTTTCAAAAAGCAGAAAAAACGGAGTCGCGGGATGAAAGGTTGTTCAAAATAGCTGGCTGTTTGTCTCGCGCCGTGGCGGTTTAATCCAAAACAATTTTCAAGAGTTCAACATGATCTTATGATGATGCAGTCAATCCTTTTTTGACTAGTCTTCCTCCTCTCCTCCCAGTAGATTAGTGTTTTCCTAGACAGTATTCTATACTTATTTTCGATATCCCCCTATGCAGAAATCAAGATTTCAGATAGACCGTCACTGGGATTACTATATAGAAATGGGCTAGCGGTGTGCCGGTCCAACTCAGTTGACTATGGAGTGTCCATCTCCTCGACTCTCCACGTGCCCTCAAAACTATAAATTTACAAATTCCATTTTCAGAACAGAGTGCATCATCGAGTCGGATGAAGGGAAGTATTTCATAGTTTTTGGAGATCTCTGCTAATTTGTGCGGTTCTTGATGTCCTACCCCCAGTGTTAGTAGTTCCGCCCGTGATCCGCCCGATGTCCGCCATAACCTAGGTTAATTATTAACCGGGGAAACTAGAGACCCTCCGAGTCGTCTTCCCCGCATTTCTCCAACCCCCAAAACTTCTTCTTTACTATACTCCCACTGTGCCCCTTGAAATATCACGGATTGTTTCTGTGACACGTCTATTATTTGCATATATTTAAATCGTGTGACCTAACCCTTTCGAAAACCTGATCCTACGTCGATCATCCGCTCTCCCCGCGTACCATGTCCGGCGTCAAGTCCCGGCTGTCGAATTTACTCGGCCATTTCTCAACACCCGCGCCATTCGAGCACCGAATTAATCGTCATACGCTATCTCCGACGTTCTTTCTACCTCGCGCAGCTGCCATTGAGCCAGAGGTAAGCGTGGAGATCTTTTCAAATCCCATTTCATCCCTGGTTCTAACCAAGGAGAAACGTCCCGCAGGCGGAAGCTGTCTACCACATCACTGCCAACAACAAGGTCCTCCGAAGATCCTACAGTGAGCTCGCAGATCGCGCTCGGGGCTTAGCCTATTATTTGAAGAAACATGGATTCAAGCGAGTTGGCATCTTGTGCCCGAACACCCCGGCATTTTTGGAGTCGATCTTTGGCATTGCTGCTGCAGGGGCAATCAACGTCGGTGAGAACTCCCCCCCATCCTCATTGGAGAAAGAATGATTTCCCCGAGTTCTTCTCCTGCAAGTCCTAACGCAGGCTATCTAGCCGTAAACTACCGTCTCAAAAAGGAAGATATCGCCTACATCTTCGACCACGGCGATGTAGATGTCATTATTGTGGATCAAGAATTTGAGCCGCTGTTAGAAGCCTATCGCGCGGACCATCCTAATATTCCGTTCATTGTCGATACTGATACTGATGTTACTGAGGGCCAGTTGACTGGGCCATTTGACGATGCTGTGCTTGAAGGCTTGAAGCATGATCAGGAATTGGGAGCGCTAGGTTGGGAGGCGCTTGAAAGCCAGGCTGCGGATGAAGATTCCCTCATCGCGCTTGCGTACACCAGTGGAACTACTGCCCGTCCAAAGGGAGTTGAGTACACCCATCGGGGTTGTTACCTCGCAGCTTTGGGCAACGTGATCGAATCGGGCTTGAACTATCATCGTGGCCGTGCCGGGTATCTCTGGACGCTGCCGATGTTCCATGCTATGGGTTCGTGCATTCGCTTTAAGCTTCTAAACTTTTCATGGGATAAATATTCATCTTATGGGTGTTACGATGCTAACCAGTTCTATAGGATGGACATTCCCTTGGGCAGTTACAGCTGTTCGTGGCACGCATTACTGTCTACGCAAGATCGATTATCCTCAAATCTGGAAAATGCTCAAGGAAGAGCACATTACCCATTTCAACGCAGCACCAACTGTCAACACTCTCCTCTGCAACGCAAAGGAGGCCGAAAAACTGCCCGAACCTGTCCGTGTAACAGTCGCTGCTAGCCCACCGACCCCACACCTCTTTGAGCAAATGACTGACCTGAATCTCCACCCGGTCCATGTGTATGGTATGACCGAGACCTACGGACCCATTACCAAGGGGTACTATCTCCCTCAATGGGATCAGATCCCACTGAAGGAGAAGTATCAAAAGATGGCTCGGCAAGGCCATGGCTTCATCACGAGCCTTCCCGTGCGGGTGATTAAGACCGAGGTTCCGGAGGACACCGTCACGGACGTAGAGAAGAATGGCCAGGAGATCGGCGAGATTGTGTTTGTTGGCAATATCTGTGCTCGGGGCTACTTCAAGGACCCTGATGCAACCCGGAAGCTCTTCGCGGGCGAGGTACTGCACTCGGGAGACCTGGCTGTCTGGCACCCAGATGGAGCGATCCAGATCCTCGATCGGGCCAAAGATATAATCATTAGCGGTGAGTAGCTTAGGGAGGGCCGATGCTGATGAATACGTTTTCGAATTTGGATAGAGTTGACTAATTCAAAATTGCTAGGTGGCGAAAATATATCCTCCGTGGCGCTGGAGTCAATGTTGGCCACTCACCCCGACATTCTCGAAGCGGGCGTGGTTTCTGTTCCTGACAGCCACTGGGGCGAGCGACCCAAGGCATTTGTCACCGTCAAACAAGGCCAACAGCTGGAAGGCAAAGACGTCATTGACTGGGCTCGGAATGTGAGCGGGATCAGCAAGTTCATGATCCCGCGTGAGGTCGAGGTGGTCCCTGAGTTGCCCAAGACTAGTACGGGCAAAATTCGAAAGAATGTGCTTCGGGAATGGGTGAAAGGGCCGAGTCGGAGTGTGAATGTGTAGGTAGTTCTGTCTATGTAGGTACTAATTAGTAGATTAGAGGGCGCATTGAATATACTGCCAGTGGTAGACATATATCTAGAATTAGTAATACTAGTAGTAGTAGTAGGATTTCCAGGCTCCTCCATGGA